GTTACTGAAATTTTACTTCTAATTGTATTTTCAGTTTTGAAGATAGTCCTAATATTAAATTTTTTACTTACTCGTTTAATTTGATCTGAAAGTCCCGGAATAAATGGAATGAAAAGGTTATTTTTAGTTTTTTATTTTAGTTTCTGAATTATGATGTTATGATGATGTGGTATTATTGATTGGTTATTTGCAGGAGGAGCGTGAAAAGACGCAAACAGGGGCAGGATTGTCGGATTCCGATTCGAAAGACGCACCTTTCTGCGGAGGAAAGCGACGGAAAGCCACCACATCAGTAGCATTATCGTCCGTAACCAAAGTCCTAAAGGAACATAAAACCCTCAAGTAAGTAACGGCAATTCTGCGATCGGTAGGGTCTTCGTATCAAGGCCTCTGGTTCTTTGCTCTTCTGATCACAATCCGCTCAATTGAGCCATAAAACACATACTTATTGTTTCTTTAGGTTTGGCACAAATGTGGATTTGAGTGACGAGCGCAAATGGCGTCCTCAACTTCAGGAACTTATGAAACTACCTGCTTTTGCCAGAGTGGTATCGGCAGCCAATATGTTGTCGCATGTTGGCCACGTAATTCTAGGGATGAATACAGTTCAACTGTATATGAAAGTACCTGGAAGTCGCACACCTGGCCATCAAGAAAATAACAATTTCTGCTCAATTAATATTAACATTGGTCCAGGTGACTGCGAGTGGTTTGCTGTTCCTGACTCATATTGGGGTGCAATTTGCAGGTATGTTTATTTTGTTGCAATGAGTTGGAAAGTTAGTGTCGATTTATTAAATTATTCATCAAACTATTAGTGTTTTACATTAGAAGTGGGCTCTCTATGTTGACTTTGAGTACAAAAATTGAAAGAGTTGAGGCTTTTTCCAAAATTCAGAAATTATCCCGATGTTTGTTTGGAAAGAGGTAAAAAACATTTACTTGTTTTAAATTCAGTTTCATTCAAACTCACCATACAAGTTTGAGGAATTAGTCCAGTTCGGCTTACCGAACGTACCTATCTATACTTTGCGTAACATAATACTAGAGATTTTTACATGGAAAAATGTTAAAATGATGTAATTTAAAATGTAGTAGAGCCCCAATGTTTTTTAATTCTGTGTTGGTACTTGGGGGCCTTTTATATTAAAACCTGCGTCTGGTGGCTGCCGATTTCTTTTTTAAATTAAACTTCCGCATTCTGCAATCCGTAGGAAAGCCATTTGAGGCAAGCAAGTAATCGCTAATATTTGTTAACTCCCCGAAACATACATAATAAAACAATCGATGCGTGAACTTTGCTTTTTAATAGATCAAAAACTATTTGAGTTGATTTTTTACAATTGTCGTCAACTTAAAACATTATTGTTTCTTTAGACTTTGCGAACAAAACCAAATCAACTATCTACATGGATCGTGGTGGCCCGTTTTAGATGATCTCTATAAAGCCAATATACCAGTATATAGGTTTGTGCAAAGGCCTGGAGATTTGGTATGGGTAAATGCCGGATGCGTCCATTGGGTGCAAGCTGTAGGTTGGTGCAATAATATAGCTTGGAATGTTGGCCCTCTGACTGCAAGGCAATACCAGTTAGCTATTGAGCGATATGAGTGGAACAAACTGCAAAGTTTTAAAAGTATTGTTCCAATGCTACACCTCTCGTGGAATCTTGCAAGGAACATTAAGGTTTCGGACAAGAAACTGTTCGAATTAATTAAGTATGTTGGTGATGATTGCCGATTCTTGCGGGGATTAACTGAGTGTTTTCGTTTGCAGGAATTGTTTACTGAGGACGTTAACGAAATGTAGTCGAATATTAGAGTTTGTTAAAGATAGAGGAGTAGAAGTTAAGTTTCACGGGAGAGGAAAAAATGAGGCGTCTCACTACTGCGGGCAATGCGAAGTAAGTGATATTTTAAAATCAGTTTTTATGTTTCTACTGAATACTTCTTCCAGATCGAAGTGTTCAACATATTATTTATAAGAGAACAAGAAAAAAGACACGTGGTGCATTGCATGGACTGTGCACGAAAACAATCGCCCAATCTAGAAGGTTTTGTTTGTTTAGAAGAGTATAAAATGCTAGAACTCTGCGAGGTTTATAACAATTTCACTTTACATAACAGCGCCCCAACAAATTCTGATTCCTTTAGGCTCATGTAAACTTAAGTAAATTAAAATACAACCTTCACTGCCACTTGTAACTGATGTACAACTATTATTAGGTACGTTTTGCTTGTTATTTAAGTGTAAAAAAAACAAAAGTGATATTCGTATAAGGAAAATTATTGTAATTTTTAAAGTGTATATAAAATGTGGATATTTTCATGGCTTGACAAATTACATCAATTACAAAGAAATAGTTCTTGCTTCGTAGGGTATAGCTAAACCCAAAAACAGTGATCTCAAATATTTAGTTGAATTCAATTTGTAAATAAATTTATATAATTTATTTTACCATTGTATTTACAACATTTCTGTTAAATATTCAGATTATATACTTTATTTAAATGTCGTGTAGCGCTATTGTATTGTGTTCCTTTATTTAAGTTAATATTTATTATGTGAACTTATTAATTGAACGTACATTTAATACTTTGAAGTAGAATTATTATTTGCACTTATTAACTGTAGGCAGATTTGAATGGGTTATTTTTTGGTGTTTTATACACTGCCATTTTGTGATAAAAATACTGCCCGACAGACAAAATTTCTCATAGCTGGGGCTGAGGTATCACATTTCCCACTCCTACGTTATTTAACATAACTTCTTTACTTCTTCTAGAATGTATCTAATTTAGTTTAGTGAATATTCCGGATTTATTTATTGTATTACCATTGTATTATTGTAACTCCCAGTCATACCAAATCAGCTGAATATATAATATATACATACAGTTTCAATCTTCAGTTTATCTGCTAAAATTGAAACTATATTTTTTCAAGTACTCAGCCCTAGTTGCTAGATAAAGCCTGGGTTAACTGTGCCTTCAGCTATAATAATTGTGGGATACGTCCCAACACAGGTTAAGATATAAGGTTCATATTTTTTGCATTCATGACCAAATTCGACGTCCTGAGCGTCCAATGTACATATATAATTAGGTAAAATCTGAAAAGAATTAGCTCAATTTTTGTATGTAATTTCTAATGAATCATAGGTATTTTAATGAAAAGTGTTGTATCATTCTTATAAAAGTCTGAATTCGATTGTGTTTTGTCTAGATTCTAATCAGTAATTGTAGGTTGTATTGACATTCATATAACTAAATTTCAATAAAAGAACATATAAAACTTATTTTGTATTTTGTAGCTCCTACCATCCCTATGTTGGGCAGATAGTATTTCTTGCAGCCATACAGCAAATCCAGGAAAACACCTAGATTATTTTGTTTATGTACTTATTTGGGCTAATTAATGAAAAACTAAAACGAGTTTGAGCGTCTATTAATGAAGTGAAAACGAACGTACACATAAAACACAAGGCAAACAGTTCGTGTTACAATCTAGAACTGAAAGTTGATTTCAACATAAATAATTTATTAATAACATATTCAATATGCACAGTCCATTTAACACTATCAAATATTCCTAAGTAACGAGTCAAACTTTTTTAGCCACAATTTGAAAAGTAATTAATGAAACTAGGACATGAAAAAAAAATAAAAGGAACATCTTACTTTGACAATAATTCAACTCCCATAAGTGAGTACTATAAAGTACTAAAGAGCAATAAAAATTATGGTAGCAAATAAGACTTTGGTGGGTTTGTCACATTTGAAATAGCTGGAGGCGAATCGTCCACTGGGTTTGGAAGTTTGGGTTCTGGTTTCTTCAGCAACGCCCCTACTTCGGTTAAAACGAATCTTGAAATTTTAATTAAGGCTATGTGGGCCACATATTGAAGAATCAGTGCTCCAAAGCCCTTGTACAAACCAGTGGTTCCCTCGGTTAGGATGCATTTCGAGTAACAGTCCAGAGCCCCGCTGTAATTGGTTAAAATTGGCAATACTGACCTGCCGTCGCCTAAGTTATCGACAATTGTTCTCGTCCCCTTTGGGCGAAGAAAAATTACAGTTATCAATCAATCAGCAGATGAGATTATCAATCACCGATTACCTGCAAATGTAATCGATGAACAATGGTCTCACATGGATAGAAAACAATGTCGCTGGATATTGTTGCTATTAATGACGCCGACAAATTAATGTCTTCCATTGCTGGGTTACTATCTTTGGGAATTGTTCCAGTTTTTTGCCACTTATTATTCTGGCGAATATTCAGCACCCATGTGGCAACACCTTTGACCATCATAGAAAACAAGTATTTAGCTAGCCCTAAGGTGATTGTCGGAAGAATGAGGGCCCAGATTGGCAGCATTCGCCCTTTGGCGGGAGCCCCCCAAGTTAATAGTCTTATAAAACCCTCTCGGAACACGTCCAAGGTTCCTGGCCTCTCACTTGCTATTTCGCTTTGGACTGTTTCCACGAAAGATGCGGAATAGAAAGGAGTAACTACTGCCAAGCTAACGCTAAAAAACAAAAATAAATTCACAAACAGTCTTTTGTAGACGTGCGAATATAGATACTCACCACTTCAACATGGTATGTTGGAAAAATTGCTTTAGGCTGCTATGCGGACTTATTTCTCTACAAACAAATAACTACATACAATTTTTGCTTTAGTGATAGACAATGTTTATTTGGACTTTCTTGGCCTAACAGAAATGTTTCTTTCTAGTAATTTCGCCGTTTGGAAGTCGAAATATGAAATTCGATCACCCTCTTCGTATAGTATTTACGAAGTTACTGGGCCAAACGTAAAAATTGAGATGTTCGTTCAGTTTAGTGCCTAAAGTGTTCCTAAAATCCAAGCAATTTGTATGTGACCGGTCCCCGTACTTTGATCCTCATCCGGTCAACGTGGACTTGGTGCCGCAAAATGTTAAATAATGTTGTCGATGGTGCCTTATTTAGATTTATTATTAATCAACTTTAATTTCATCGAACAGTGTCGTTGCATATTTCTGAGTCTTTACGCAGCATTTTGGCTGTATTTTACAATTATTATTAGACAATAAATATGGCATTTTGGCCATTAATGTTAATGAGACAACAAGTTCTGAAGACTGATAGTTATGAATAGGTGCGCGTAAATTTCCAATTTCTGAAATTTTTGGCGCCATTTGTACCCTGGTCCAAGTTAGATCGTACAGACTATACCCATATGGAAACGCAGGTTTCGTTGGTTCCATCTATCAAACTTGGCCGATTTCTTAGCATTCAAAGGCTTGCGCTTAAGGTAATTGAAGTCACAGTAAACCACTTAACATGTTCTTTTGTTTGTTAACATACACATTTTATAACACTGGAAATAATTGGAAATAAAAAATAATCTTAGAGAAAATTTGTTGAAATATTTAAGAACCGCGCGATAATCGCTGGGGATATTGGACACAATTGAATAGCCCCCACTCGCTAAATAAAGCTTTGAAACTGTAACGTTCTTCCCAATATATATAAGTAAAACTGACACTTACTTCGGCCAAGGTGTTAATTTGGAAAGTAAATCTTCCACTCCCAGGGACATGCCCCTTACAAGAAGCACTGATCCCAGACCCTTCCATAAGGTAGTAAGCCCTTGATGCTGTTGCAAATGGCACACAGGGGGAAGTAAAGTGAATGGCAATAAATGATATATCCTAGATGAATGGTTCACCTGTAAAATTTAATGGTTTACCGAGTTGGAAATATTAGTTATATATGTATAATACTTGACATTGTCTTCTTAGGACTAGAAAGGGGTGGCTGAGTAGGTTTTCAGTAATAAGACTAGCAAAAGCAACTCCAGACCCAATATACCGTTTAACTGAAACTTCTAAAGTGGGTAAAATCTGCAACTTCGAACAAGCTTATTGAATTTACCTTCAGGGCTCTGGTATGGCTTTGGGCTTGTATATTGAGGCAAATGCTCCCTATTAAGATAATACTCATCATGAACCGGAAGTCTCCTGGTCAAATCAGGGGCATCCAAATAGTTTTCACGACCATTGTAGTCCCCATAACGATGAGACCAATCTCCTGAGTCCATATCGTGACCGTGTAACCTCACTTTGGTAAAGACCTACAAATTCGTAACTGACGAATGTCCAGAATTATTTCCCGATAAATCGCAAGCAATATCAGGGCCCTATAATTAAATCCGGATCATACTGAACTTGAATGATCTTCTCCCTGTAATTGATTGATTAAATAAATCACAACTTTTGAATTAATTCATTGTTGTTGAGAATAGGGAAAATGTCAGGTTTCAGAACTTTACTTAGATTTTTTCCTGCAGCATGTTTAAACCATTGCAAGTAGTTCTAGTCGGTTGGATATGTTTGCAAATTACTTTTTCAATCAAAATATAAATACTTTAGCAAAAATCAAACTGCCCTGACAGAGGTGTCATTCAACATTTCAAAAGTGTAATAGCACAGAACCGGGGGATGTTCTGTGGTGTAATAGATACTTTTCATTTTATCAAATCGTAATAGTGACGTCACTGAATCGTAACGAATGAATTTACCAACTACTTTTACATAATAGCGAGTCTTAATTAATAGTAAAGTTTAGAATTGGTGCTGTAAATTCTTTAAATTCACAATTATATTTTTAATATTTAACTACATATTGCAATTTTTATTGCGCCGCGAATATACAAATGCAGTTTTAAAACGTTTCGGATCAGCAACTGGAAAAGTATAGGAACAATATTTATTAGATTCAACGAAGGCAACCTTCGTAAAAATCAGTCAATAAAAAAGGAGATGAAAAAGGAAAATGCATAATAAATAAATGTTCTTTTTTTTACCAAAAAACAATTTTAATAACTTACAAGACTAAAATGTTATGAATAACACAAATAAACTCTCCAGAACAAATGATTATAAACTAAATCACAAAACCACCACAGAAAAATATACAGTAGCCGAAATAAGAACAAACACTAAATGAGAAATAAATAAGTGCGAAGTAACAAATATTCGAAAACCGTCTTAAACCTAGATGAAATTGACAGTGGTGATTAATAGCTAAGCTACCACGTTTATATTGCAAAACAAAATAAACTTAAAAAATTATGTATATCATCACAGATGATGGTTATTAGGAACCAACAATTTCTCTTTTATATATATAATTCGAAGTTAAAAGTTAGTTTTGGCATCAAAAGAAAATCAACATACCAAAAACTTTAGCTTAGGTGATTTGAAAATGTTGTTCTGGAATGTAATAAGTTTAGGTATATTTGATTAAAATAGAACAACACATTTTAAATAAGTAAATATAACTATGCAACAAAATGCAGGGCTGCTTGGATTGATTTTCTTTTGTTGGCGGTAAATTCTTTAACGGTATTTTACCCTGTATAGATAGAGCCTTTAATAAACAAAAAATCTATTCTATGAGTATCCAGGATTAAAAAATAAGCAATAGATAAATCTTAAACCTACATAAAAGCCACATTTATGTTTAAAACTATGTTTACACCTTGCAAAAAAGAGCCGGTACAGTGTCAGTGACTAAATAAAAGCACCATTAAATTTTTGTGTTTAAGTAAAAAATCTACTATAAATTGTTCAAGATGACATTTTCGTAAAAAGAATAAAATTCGCGGTCTTAGAAACAGGCGTTTGAATATCTGCATTCGGTTCTTACAAAAGTAACTTTTAGCGTGATACTTAAATAAGTTTTGATTTTTATTAGAAACTGCATTTATAGAATTAGTTTATTTTAAATATTGGATATGGATAGTTCTCGAACGAGAAAAAAAAACGTTTTGCCTACAATGTTTTGCAATACAATATCCAGTTTTCTTAGATTAAATTTTAAGCTATTTATTGCACATTTTTTTATTGGAGTCACCAAAGTTGCGGTGCACAAAGAATCGCAAATTTTTACACCTTACTGTTACAAAAATATAACGATTTTTGACAGGTAACTTTCACTAACTGTTTAGAGCTTATCTAATATGATATGAGGTGTTTCATAACTTGACTTTAGAAAAATCACATTGTTCACTGTCTCACCAAAAATGTTATAATATTTGATCAGTATCAATTTTAACTGTAATTTATCTCTTCGAAAAGCTCCTTTTTTATATGAAAACAAGTTTTTCGAAAAGTTTAAATGAGAATAATTGTTTCAGGTTCAAGCTCGTGAATTATACGTTATAATGATTATGAAAGCTTATTAAGTTAGTGTAGAGAAGACGAATAACTTAACTCGAATTTAAACAACTTGCAGTAATTGTAAAAAACCTGTTTGGCTACAGTATTCTAAAATTTATAACTGAATAAAAACAATTTAGACTAGTGAACAATATCTGGCAAATAATTAATTCCAACTTAGGAATTGCCCTCATTGATTGACTGATGAGAAATAAAATTAGCCTTGTGCACATTTTGTAGTATGTGAATTCAAGTTAATAACAAAAAATGTTTAGTTAAATTCAAATAACAGCTTATAGTTTTGGTGAGCACAGTATTATAAAAAAATCATGTCATATACACCAAATCAACTTGGAACAATACGTAATCTTTAGGCCCATGCTCGGCATTAGACGGAAACGAGGAAACTTGGATTTCAACAGTAATCCAGAAAAAATAAAATCTATATATTTCCGAGAAACCAGTTCTAGCACCTACCTAAACCACGGAAGAGTGTTAATAAACATAAACATAAGTACATAAATGTAAAAAACCACTATAACTACTCAAAATTTAGTTTGGTTTTCGGAATGCCCCTGTTTAATTTAGACGCCAGAACTGGAGTGGAAACCCTTAGTGGCATAAACGGATTAGTGTTTTCATTATTAGATGAGTTCGAACTCGACGACTCACTGTTATCACACTCCATTCCGGAGTAATATAGCATCTCTGCTAAAACATTGTTTTCGACTTCAGCAGCAGGGCTCTGCCTCAATGATAAGTTAGTAGTTGGACTGAATGATTCGTTTAATTGATTGAACAAGGATTTCCGATGCAGCGATCTAATACTGCTATCTTGATCATATTCGCTGAAACGAAAATAAATTTGTATTTAAATGCACCCTCTCTGATACAGGATTATTCCGGTTATTCAAGACAGGAAAGAGTGCAGTTAAACTATTTTACTTTGGATGCTACTAATAGACAGAGTTTTGTGACGTCAATGATCCATAAAAATTAGACCAATTTCAATGAAGTCTCGAGGAGTTAGGTCTAGGTAGCCTTCAATCTATAACTATAGAATTAAGGAACTAATAGATAATTAAATTTTTCATCTATTCTTGGCATATAATACAGTGTTTCATGTAAATTAAGCAAGTAATTACTGTTTAAAACGTGCAATTGTTTCTAATTATTATTAATTTATCAAAACAGATAGACGTTCGAGGCCATTCCTTGAAACTAGTGGTTTTTTCGGGCTTTTAGGTCGTCGTAAAATGGAATTTCTTACTGAGGTTTCGCAAGCACGAGTGGCTTGCTTGGGAAAAAAACGGTTTGGTCTGAAATATAGAGAACCAAACTAACCTTGCACAGTCATAGAGATCATCATCGTCATCGTCATCTCTATACGGAGTACTGCAACCATTATAAGGCGGCGTAGAAATATTGGCGTTATTATTCTCATTCATGTGAATCGGCGACAGAGGAATATTATCATTCGAATCCTCCGATCTCACAAATGATGCCTAATAAATGCAACCTATGAAAATGAAAAAAATTATATTCAGAGGTGAGACTTACAGCAAAATCCACTCTTGGAGACTTGAGGTCGTGTTTAGAGATGCTCAACAGTTTAGGTAAGTTGAGGAGTTCTACTGCTGTTGGCCGCTCCTTGTACTCGATTGAAATCATGTTTTGGACGATGATTGATAAGTCACATGTTACTTCTGAAAAATGAAGGGATTCACTACGTGCAACAGAAAGTGGTAGTCATGTAACGTACTTTCATAGAACAGTAAAGGTAGATCGCCGTATCTTAATTGACGCCACAAGAGACCATGTTCAGGCAATTCGAAATCCGTTGCAAGTTCCAAAACTGTGATACCCAGACCGAAAATATCACAGGCTGAAGTGTAGACCCCATCTAGTACTTCGAGTGCTAAGTATTTTGAATCGCCATCTGATAGAGTCGATTTATGAACTTCGTCGTTCTACAAGAAATAAGGGGATGATACTGACCAGCTGTTAGGTTTACATTTGCAAAAAACCCACCAATTTTAAGTTGACCAACAGTCCAAAATCTCCCAACTTAAATACGCCTTTCTTCATCATGATATTTCCTGGCTTAACGTCCAAGTGAAGAAAATGTTTTGTGTGCAGAAAATTTAACGCTTTGCAGATGTCATGCAAAACATTCCATAATAAATCTTCGTGAATATTATTGTTCAGCTTTGAGTAATCGGCTAGTGACATATCGCAGCACTCCAATAGCATAAAAGTGTAAAAGTTTTCTTCCCATGCCATAAAATATTGCACACAGTGTGGACTAAAGCCCAGCATCTCGTTATTTTTCACTTCAGCACAGCGATCATTAAAGCTGACATGGGACTTTAGTCGTTTTACAGCATAAAGCTTTTTATCTTCTTTGCTTTTCACTCGAAATACTTTTCCAAAGCTTCCTTCTCCCATACATCCCAGCTTCGAAAAAACTTGGTCTAGATATGACTGTCGTTGGTCCGGATTATAAATTGGGCTTAGTGTCACTAAACAGGAACAACATTGCTTTAAGGGATGCGCCAAAAAGGTTTGTTGAGTAAAAATAAATAAAATCCATGTAAACTAAAATATTAAAAAATTTTAGTTTTAATATGATACAGGCTTTATAAATTTCCTAATTTAGCTACTTAGGGGTTTTGGCCACGCTGAGAGCAGGAAGTAATAAAATGTGATCACATTTAGTTGCTAGTCACGTGTCATGGGTTGTTAAAGGCAAAAATCTCTAAACATTGACGAACACTTTCCCAACGATTATAATATCTAGGCATCACGTTTTTGTGGTTGAACTGATCACTTGAAAAACTCAACAGCGACTCAAATGCCACTACTTTTGTAATTTTTGCGAAACGATAGCTCAAGAAATACTCTATGGAAACGAACAAACCATTTCCGTTGTATGCATGAAAAATGTAATTGTTTCCACGACAGAAGCTTTGAAATTCAACGACCGGGTTAATTACTATCACATTTTGCACAAATCGCTATAAAGCTTGGACATGTTTGGACTGGTAAATTCGTGAAATTTTGTGGCTTTGAGCTTTAATTTTTGTTTGGGCAATACTGGCGTAAAGATGGACTATATTTCAGATCGTTGCCCAGAAAGAAGGGGTTTTGAATTTTACGTTTCTAATTTTTGGTTGTAACTCTTTATAGAAACAGACAACAGTTTTCAACAGGTTTTAAAAAATGGCATTCACAGATTTTCTTATATGTAGTTACTGACAGCCCTCCGAGTTAAATAATCTTTCAGTTTATATGCTTTACTTATTCTTTAAAAGATTTCTTTACAAAACAATCTCAAGAAATCAGAGTTGACCAATATAAGTGCTAAAACAGCTCCTCAGAGATATGTTCCATTAATGGTATTCAATAATACTTGCTTGCATTACCATTGTTGTTGAAACAGAATGGTGTTGGCTTTTTCGCAGTATGAGTAGACCTCAGATTCTTTCTCACTTTAAGTGGAACAGGGCACGACGGTTGCTTTCCCTTATATGCCAATTCCTAAACAACGATAAAAAGCTCATAAAATCTCTCAGCCCATTTAAATGCCATGATGAAATGAATTCAAAACAGAATTTCGTATCATACCTTTTTGGTAGAAAGCCTTTCATTGATGATCATTTCTTCGGCGTATAACACGGTTCCTCTCTTACGACTCATAATGGCGATTGTGTATAATTTAAATATCCAATAAACAGTCCATAATAACTTAACAACTATAATATCGCCTTGTTGTAACAGGCCATTTAAAACTAAATAATGCACTTGCTTACTGACAGTGACAACCTGTCTTGCAGAAACACGTTTGAACTTCTTTCCCTGAAACAGCGCTGCCAGACTTGAAAAAATTTGGTGCTCTTTAAGGATATCGGTGGTTGTTCAAAAACATAAATCTATTACAGAATATACAGAGTGATTTTAGATTTGAGTCCTCTGAAAATATTGTCTAGGCGTACTTCGAGGGTAGAGATAAAAAGTGAAAAAGATATTCCCACAGAACACTGAGATATTTGCAAAAATTTGCAAAATCACTGCAATTAATTTGCACTTATAATAAGAAAAAAATAATCAGGAAAAATGAAATCAGTTAACTGCTAGAACAGTGATTCTACACGTTCACACGAGAATTAAAAAAATTTAAAACCTACACTTAAAAATTGGTTTTGCAATAATTTAAAAAGAATGCATAGAAACAGACGAGAATTAATTACCAAGACGCATTAACCGTTTAAAAAGAGTACATACGATAATTTTTTAATACTTCGTTAGTGAGAATTAAGAGAAAATGTTCCAGTTGTTTCGAGAAAAAAGTCAATCTGTTTTGATCATTATTGTTGTTACGTAGCGATAAATATCTGGCAACAGTGCCAATATTGACAGTGAGTTATGTCACTTAATCAACTTGGGGTAAACATGACTTTAATTGTTTGTGTTTTAAAGAGCAATTTAAATAGTTGATAAAATTCGCATACGTGTAAAGTGTGAGATAATGCTCAATTCAAAGGGCCGGTTTTTCGTTAATTACATCCAGATTTATTCACCATGTTATCAGGAAACTTAATCATTCGATCAGACCACTATGAGTTTAATAGTAAAAAGAAAAAAATCTCATAGAGCAAAACTATCAAAAGATTATAGAATGGAGGGCAATGAGATACATGTGAGTTGTCTTGAAGGTGTAATGCTTAATTAAACCATCGTGGTATGCTCTAGGATGATGGTAGCGAATATTCTACCGATACTTGCACCCTGCTAAATGGAGACGCATCAGCAAAGCAAGAGGTAATTGTTGTTAAGCAGGAACCACTATGGGCTACAGCTATTCAAATGTTCATCCCATTCCTGCTGGCAGGATTCGGAATGGTGACTGCAAGCCTTCTTTTGGACAAAGTCCAACATTGGCCAGTGTATCAGAACATTTCAGAAGTATACATTCTTGTACCAGCTCTTCTGGGCCTAAAAGGAAACCTGGAAATGACTTTAGCATCCAGGCTGTCTACACACGCAAATTTAGGCCATTTAGATAGCCACAAGCAAAAACTAAGCCTAATCACAGGTAACATTGCTCTGATTTTATGTCAGGCAATTGTTGTGGGGTTTCTAGCTTCCATTGCTGCTGTTATATTCGGCTGGATTCCTCGTGGTGAACTTAATATTCAGCATGCTTTGCTGCTATGCGCTAGTAGCATTGTGACAGCATTTGGTGCCAGTTTTGTATTAGGTGTAGTTATGATAGGTGTTATAATATTTTCTAGACATTTCAATATTAATCCAGATAATGTAGCTACCCCGATAGCGGCCAGTTTAGGTGACCTTACCACTCTAGCAGTGTTATCTTACTTTGCTTCCTTATTTTACAGAACAATAGATAGTCATCCATGGTTAACACCATGCTTAATCGTGTTAGGAATAAGTTTGGTGCCTTTATGGGCATATGTAGCTAGTCAAAACAAATACACACGCGAAGTTCTTTTCAGCGGCTGGAGCCCTGTGATATCAGCAATGATCATCAGCAGTGCTGGAGGTCTGATTTTGGACTTCACAGTCTCTCAATACAAAGGGGTTGCTGTATTTCAGTTAGTCATTAATGGGGTTGGGGGCAATTTGGTGGCCGTACAAGCCAGTCGTATATCAACGGAACTCCATAGTAAAGGAAACCTTGGCGAACTACCATCTCACATGCAAGTGTGTATTAGTCCCTGTGATGCATTCTGTGATAATAAGAAAACCAGTCACACTGGTACCGCTAACATGCTAATGTTAATGGTTATTCCTGGGCACTTAATTTTTTCTTACACTATCAGTTACTTACAAGCGGGGCATACATCGTTTACTTTGGTATTTATGCTAGTTTACTTAAGCGCTGCATTGATCCAAGTCTTTTTATTACTTTATATTGCACAAGTTCTCACTTTGAGCATGTGGAAGTCTGGAGTTGATCCAGATAATTCTGCCATTCCCTACCTTACTGCGCTGGGTGACTTACTTGGTACGATGCTACTTGGTTTAGCATTTCAATTTTTATATCTAATTGGAGACCGAGATAGTGATGTTGGTGACTAGTTTTATTCTTCAATGGCAGTGCCAAATAAGCTGCAACTTAAGTCCGATTTTAGAGCATACTTCTTTTATCAAGTCCGGTTTTCAAGCAGTTTAAGCGTCCTATCTGCGAAATTATAATAACATTAAATTTTAGTCATTCCACTACTTGATATTTCGATGAGATTTGTTGAAATTCGTATTATTACTGTATTACTTAGTTTTAGGTAATGAAAAAACCAAAAATATTTTAGTTATAATTTTTGTTGATTTTGCAAATACTTCACTTATTTAGTATTGCGATTTTTAATTGGGCAAAAAACCAGTGGCGCATTTCACTCCAACGATTTATGGATGTTTACACGTAATTCTTCGTCTGATCGAGGCCATATTTAGAAATCGACTATGTAATTGGATTTTGCTCATATGATCTATATGGCCAAACTTACTTTATTTATAATCTTTTTTTTAATGTTATCGAAAGTAATCTAAGATCCAAGATGTTGGAGGACATGGTGTTTGGGAGAATGTGGAAAAATCGCCCAAATATCAAGAAAATACTGATTAATTAAATACTAATTAATTATCGAACCACTAGGTATATATGATTTTTTATTATTTATTATGTATGAGAAAAAGTGTAAATTATTCGTGTTTACAGGGTGCGAATAAATACGATACTCATCACCCCATTATTTTTGTACCACGTTTTTTTTGTGGTTTCATTAAAAAATTTGAATACAATAGCAAATAATGTAGAAAACTTCGAATACACATGGTGGTTCAATAATTACGTGTAAAAAACTGAATTCCATTAAACCTCTTGGGGAGGTCATATCTTGGAAGTTTACTAAATCATGTAGTATTTTTTCACCTCAGGGGTATTTCCGACTTTTTCCCGGACACCCTGTATATGTTATGTATTCGGTTTGTTATGTTTCCATATAGAAATAAGGTTTTATGGTCTTAGTTCTACTTTATGTGGAAAATAGATTAGAATTTATCGACTGGCTGTAAAATATTTTATGTTTATATGTGAAAATTTATACAGACAACAAATAAATTGTTCCTATTTATGTATGAGTTTCACTTGAAGGTTCCAAGTGAACCTTTAAAAAAAATCAGCCCATCGTCTTTGACTATACCTAAATGATATAAAGTAGAAAAATTGCTACACTGCGCCGCAATGTATGCAATATTTGCAGCATAGCTTAAATATGCGATAACTGTTGACTGGATATTTTCCGCGAAACTTAAGTTATAAGATAAGCAAAAAATACAATCAACATACTATACAGGGTGTTTAAAAACTGTTTACAAGACATATTTTCTTGCTCAATGTTTAAATACGTTTGCTGGCAGTATGGCTTAGCTCAGACAGAAAAAGTATACCCTCATGCCTTCTTAGTTATTTGAATCTTTTGTAGTCTGTTGATTCTGAGCCATTCGAGAAATTTTAATTTTTTTATGATCGGTCACTTCTTTTTGTTTGCTGAAAAAAATTCTGGCAAAAAGGCTTTAAAAACAACATTTTATTTCAAGTTGATAGCTCTGTTACTGTGCTCGAAACATGGACAGTTTCTTATCAAAAATAAGTATATTTTCGGAAATAAAATGACAAAACTGATCCTACTAACTTTGGAATTACGGTAGCAAATACAAAACAAGTCTCAATGAGATATTCAAATACTGTTAAGTTTATTATCATTATGCCCACTGAAAATCATTTTGTGTGAATAAGAATTTGAGATTCCACCTTTTGCGCTTATTTCGGTGTAAAATAAATATTTTGTCTTGAGATTAACTAAGAGATAAGGTAAGTTTCCAAGGAGCAAGCTACTTTAATCGCGAAAGTGTATCAAAAATGGTAAACTTACTTGAAATAATCTTCTTGGTTAGCTACCAATATCTGCTTTAAAACTTCCAGGCTCACTTCATATTTACTTGGGAGAATCTCAGATATTCAGTTACTGAAAGACAAAGTTCTATATGGAAGCAGACCAAGAGAAAAAAGGTCATCATAGATGGGGGTATATTATTTGCTTACCTGTTCGTACTTGTGTAAAACTAACGTAACTTTTGATATGATTTTCCAAAAAAATAGTTTCGGGATCAGCCATTTCCGGTTGCGTAATTGCCATAATGGGAGTGAGGTAATTGTGAGTTCAAGTTTTAGAAAATAACTGTATACTCTGAGTTTTAGTGGATCGGGAAAGACTTCACTGCTGACTTTACTTTCCGGGCAACGCAAAGGTAATTCGAGTTTTTTCCAGCAAAACAAATTAATATCGCACATAATGCCTTGCAGGCAAAGGAGTTTTGAAGATCAATGGCAGAGCCATCAGCGGAAAAATGCTTCGAAGTAATTCAGCATTCGTACAGCAAAAAGATATATTTATTGAAACTCTAACGGTTTACGAACACATTACCTTTATGGTGAACATATAACAAAATTCATTTTCTAGTCGCAAAAATAAGGATTTAAATTTTTCAGGCAGCAATGTCTCTAAATCAGGCCCATAGTGCTAGAGTTTTGGTAGTTCATAAACTACTTAAGGATTTCAATATAGAGAATTTAATGTATACGAAAATCCAATATTTATCTTCAGGGGAGAAACGCAAGCTTTCTTTGGCATCAAATGTAAGTACATGGGTGATATTTTGTCACTATTATTCGTCATTTATGTTTTTGTTTGCGTTATCCGATTTTTGATTAAATTTTTAATTCACTTGGCATTTCAGCTTCTTTCAGACCCATGTATTCTCTTTTGCGATGAACCTACTACTGGATTAGATAGTTTTAGCGCTATTTCAGTGGTGCGAATTTTGGAAACCGTGGCGGTCTCTGGAAAAATTGTATTTTTAACAGTTCACCAGCCTTCCTCGCAGCTTTTTGAGTCATTTGACAATATCATTCTGCTATCTACTAATGGTAAAGTCGTTTTTCAAGGATCACCGGAAAATGCTAGAGCATTTTTCGAAAAGTAAGAGTAGTTTTTGTTGCGCTTCTGGTGCGTAATTCTTCCGCTTGTAGTCAGTTTTTATACTGCCCGACTGCCTATAATCCGGCAGAGTTCTATATAAAAAATATAGCGGTGAAATCCAGTTCAGATGAGGGCAGAATTGATCACATGGTGGAAGTGTTTAAGGAAGAATATGCCGTAAAGTTCAACTTCTCTGATATTGAGTACGATGGCCTGTTACTGAAACAACGGTAAAGGTTGCACTTATTCAACAAAAAAAAAACATATTAATTTTTTCTGAGGCTTTGCAGAGACACTGAGAAGAGTTTTGTCTTCGCATTAGGATGGCTAACTTGGAGGATACTCATTGATATGAAACGGAACTTTAAGCAATATTCCGTAACATTTTTATTAATTATCGTAAGTTGACATGCTACGGGCAGCAATTCACACAACTATAAGCATTGGATTTTAGATAACAGCGTTCATTATAGGACTCACTTATTCCAGTATCAGCTTAAACGAAGGAAGTAGCGTTCAAAGCATCCAAGGAGCCCTACTGCTCATTGTGTCTGAATTAATCTTCAATGGAATGTACCAGGTGATATTTATGTTTCCTTCAGAAGTGGAACTTTTTATTCAAGAGAAGAATATGTACTCAGCTTTGCCATACTTTGTCTCCAAAATCGTCTCCTTGGTTAGTAGACACGCTGTATTATTGATTCTTTTTAGAACTTTTTTGGTTTTTTTTAGATACCTTTTGCCTTTGTCCATTCATTGGGATTCTTAGCAGCTTACTTCATTTGCCTGCACTTTCTTGCTGGTGTCCATCTTTTCACGTATATGTATCTCATATTGGTTGGGGCGTCTTTGGGAGGTAGTGCCCTTGGTAAGCTTATAGAATCCAGAATATGCAATTAGACCTGGCTTCAAAATGCTTAAATTGAAAGCATAGCTGATTCGGGGTTTTGTTTCCAGGGCTGTGCCTTTCAGCGCTTTTCCCATCAATAGAGGCAGTTCATCTATTCATAGTGCCTTTAGAACTGTTATGCTTACTGCTGTCGGGATTGTGGATAAAGGTCAATTCCCTCTCCAAATTTTTTTCAGTTGTTAAGTATTTATCACCATTCTACATTTCCTATGAATCGATTTGTATTATATATTGGATCAAACTGGATGGAGTAGGTAATATTTCCCGGCTTCTTCAAGCTTCTAGATAATAATTTCGCTTTGGTCCTCTTGTAGATCTTTGCACCAACGTGAGAGATATCGCATGTTTTCACAATGGGACTGAAGTGTTGAGGAATTATGGCTTTACTCCAAGTTATGATAAAGTTTACAGTAATTTAATTTATCTTATGATATTGATATGTGTATACTGCTACATTGGGTATATAGGTATACTGAGGAAACGGGCTTTATATCATGTGTAGTTAAGAAATAAAGTCAATTCGTATTACAAATTAAAATATTGGAATAGGTATACCCTAACAGGAGACAACGTCAGACCACAGCTTCACCCCTTTCCTTTGTTTACAGGTGAAAGAAAATTGAAGGTCTTCAAATAAGGTGGGGTTTATGCATCTGGAGCGGCGTTTATAGTTCGTCGTTTAATAAAGTTAAGTTTTCCGTCGCTTTAATGCTGCTAGCAGAAGAAAGTAATGACAAATTATGACTTGGGCTGAATATGGATCTGCCATTTAGGAATTTTTTAAAACTACATTGAATCTTGAATATGGATCGGCCATTTGAGTGATAGTATGTAGTCTGTGAAGTGGACTTTATCCAACATATCAAGCTTCAAAAGTTAAACATTTCAGGAAAATAGAGCAAAATCGTAATATTTTCTCCGCAGTAATCCATGATATATTTTTTTACTATTTCTGATGGGACACTCTGTATATTTAAAGATAAAAATAAACACGTAACCAGAGACAAGTACTTGTCTCTGACATAACCAAGCAAATAGGAGTGATCACAGAATACCCGCCAGGGGGGATATTCTGTGGGAGTGATGCTTGTTGGCAGTGTTGCAATTTTGGCAACACCGTGGGCACCGGAAGAGTAGTTGCGACCAGCGTTGCCAGAGTCAGTACATTCGTACATTTTTCAGTACGCCTGACCCTCCAAAAGTACGTCAGTACGCCCGCATTAGTCTTCAGTACGGTAATCAGATATGCGGATCAGATTCTCTATAACTTCTTAGTACCATAACACTAGCGTCGGTCACTTCAAAATAATTGTTTTCCCTTTCCCTTTGTATTATATGTCAGCTTCATTATTGCTGGTTGCCTACTCTTTTGGTGTAATGTGTCTACATCTACTAGTGTTAACTGTCTTTTATGCGGTTTTACTAGCCACCGATGCAGTTGGTTATAGTATTCAATAGAAAAGTGAATTTTGCTTTTGTTCCTGTCATAAAATACAGGGTGCTCTATTTAAATTGAGCAAGTTATTACTGTTCAAAATGTGCAATTGTTTCAGAACAATTTTGGGACACACTGTATATCGTAGTCGATTTTTTATTAATTTGGCATGAAACAGCATCTATTACTAGCCGCATGGTAAAATTTGAATTTGAAATGCAAAATGGGCGTTGGGAATTAAAAAAAGGCCTGCATTTTTCACAAAACTAAATATTTCAGAAACCGTAATCTTTAAGTATGATAAACTTTAACAATAACTAACATTTATTTCGATCGCAGACACTAATAACATAACAATATACAGGGGACCAACCACTATTTGAAAAAATGCAACTTTGGGTTGAATCTAGTAATGGGAACACCCTGTACATGATAAAATAATTAATAATAAATTTGACAAGTAATTGTTTTTTTAAGTAAACGTATTTTTTTATAATGCTTTATTTATTAGTTCTACATTCATGTACCACATTCCACGCTCCAGCCCGTTACTTTCATTAATTACTAAATATTTTATAATTCAGGGTGAGTATTAAAATTTCATTCATATCTAGCAAGCTGTGAACATGTACATATATTCTATGCTTGTTAGTTTCTATTATGTTCTTATCTTCTATCTCTTTTATGTGACATTTCATAGCTGGCTAGATATGAAATTTAAAAGATCACCCGGTATAAGTAGGTAGGTATAACACATTATATTAACATAGATATATCATATTTGAATTTTCTAATCAAAAAAATTAGCCAGTACGTTGCACTACATATTCAGTACACTTTCGAGACCTATTCAGTACCTTCACGATGATAATTCCGGCAACACTGGTTGGGATCAGTTGGAATCAAGTATTTGCAAGTCTCCCGTTACTTCATGCCCTCAGCCTTAAATTTCAGTTTGTACTTAAACCGTTTAGCAATATGTTTTCGTTTAGCACGTTTTAAGGACCATGAGTGAATTTTTCAGGTCGGAAGGGGCAGGCGTAAAGGCGGAAATGTTGAGTGACAAAAACAGATCAACGGCAAACAATATGTGCATAACTGTCGAAGTATGTGTTGTATGTGGAGACCGAGCTTCAGGTAGACATTATGGAGCTATTTCATGTGAAGGGTGCAAAGGATTTTTCAAACGATCAATTCGGAAACAGTTGGGGTACCAGTGTAGGGGCAATAAGAACTGCGAAGTTACCAAACACCACAGAAATCGGTGTCAGTACTGTAGACTACAGAAATGCCTTGCATGTGGCATGAGAAGTGATTGTAAGTTCACTGTTTAGTGCCTCTCTTCCTCACATCAACCGTTATGCATAAGGTGCCTCAAATTTTTGGTACATCAACATAAACAAATCCGTTTACTTGGATATTTTCTTTCAAATTTACAGTCTGGCAAGGGTGAAGCTTTATTATTATATTACACTTTATAAAGAGTGCCCTTTCTTATATGCGTACGATGATTCTTATATAAAAGTAGAAAGTATCCCCTTGTGGGAAGCCCTACGATACCTTTACGTTCAAGTTGCAAGAGAAAATTCCATGTTACCAAGAATTTTTCATACGGATTCTGCGGCGTGTCTCAAAAGCAAAATCTGTAAATTGCATGTTAGTATATTACTTACGAAACATTACTTAATAATGTAATTAATATTTTTGGTTCGTACACGGGACATTAAACACAGAAAATTTATCCTCACTTTATTTATTATTTTATTGGGGTCATAAAGGATGGAGCATGGTATTTGGTACACAACATCGCTTTGAATATCTTGTGGAGTTTCGACTTTCAATCTAGAAAACAACTTTTTAACCATGTAGAACTTGTCCTTAACGATTATAATGTTTTGCTGCCGAAAATCTGAAACACCTTGTATAGTACAACTTTAACCTTTTTATCTAATTTCATAGTTGCATTACGCACGTGGTTTTTAGCCGTCCAACATGAGCGTAAACCCATCCTAGATAAAAAAGAATATCAAAGCAACGCGAACAATAACTACAGTCCCTCAGTAGCCAAAGGAATTTACATTAGAAAGGACTTGAACACAGATCAACCCATCATTAACACCTCACTTAATCAGTATGATTTAGGACTGCCTTTTTTCTCCAAAAGTACGTTATTTTTTCAGTATTTGCTATTTCGAATTAATCGCCGATTCTTCGTGTAGGTAACAGTAGTGCCTCAGAACCGACGTATTGCTCGCCATCTCGGGCTAGTGTAGATGATGATGGATCAATGGACAGTTCAACTGGCGCTGACTTATCCGATGCTATTAATATAGCCAAAGATAAACAGCTTATTTCTAAAGCACTAGACAATATTGCTAAAGTTCAATCCCTAGATGGTTTAGATCACTTAAAAAGCCATAATGAAGAAGACAAATGTTTTGAATATGGGGGATGCATATTGGAAGAAGATAATATAATTTTTACCGTGCAACTCCCCGGTCCAGTGCCGAATTACTTACACATTCACTATATCTGTGAAAGCACGTCTCGCCTTTTGGTCTCATCTATACACTGGGCCAGAAACTTAAATGCCTTTAAATACTTAAGGTAAGGAGCTAAATATTTACCATTCATTTAAGACAAATAATCCCATCGCTATTGATTATTTTTTTAAATTTTTTAATTAAGAATAATATTTTTTTCAGTACAGCTGCCCAAGTCTATTTACTCAGGGGTTGTTGGGCCGAACTCTTTACCTTGGGTATAATACAATGTTCTCATATGATATCAATTCCTACAATATTAAATACTCTCGCTGGTCACTTACACAACTCTATCAATGAAAATACCATGACCGCTGTTAAAGTACAGCAAATAACTGAACATATAGTTAAACTACAATCGTTCATAACCGCCATGATTGAACTGAACCTTGACGTGAAAGAATTTGGATATTTAAAAGTTATTGCGTTATTTAGCCCTGATAATGTTGATCAAGCGAGTAAAGTTCTCATAGAGAAGTTACAGGAAAAAAGTTTTCGAGAGCTGCAAAATTACATTATCAAGAATAATCGCGTAGATAATGGTGATCGATTTGCCAGGTAAATAGCTACTTAACTACTTAAATGTATTTTATTCGATGTGGTATTTTTGTTTGCAGATTGTTACTGAAGTTACCACCGTTGAGGGCGCTTGATTCTTCGATACTGGAAGAACTATTTTTTGCTGGCCTAGCTGGACAGATGCAAGTACATAGTATTATTCCTTATATCTTAAGAATGGATGCCGCTGGTACTATTCAAAGCAACAGACCAGTGAAATCTGAGCAATTACCTGATAATGTAGTCATTTAATTTTTAATTAGGAAATTATAAAATGCCCTTAACAGGGTGTGTACAGGTAATTAAATTAAACGTAAAGAACAAACTTTACTCCCACGTTGCAATAACTTTTAATACTGTAATAAAGAAACTATCAACTTTTTTGTTTGTTTTTTTTTTCGCTAAATCGGGAATTCTGTTTTTTCCTTGATTGAAAAGTTTTCCGTTTACTAAACAAGTTACTAGTAGCGGCTTCTAAAATAGACTCACTGTCTCAAGTATTATTATTTTTTATACTCCGATATAGACCGAGAGATCGAAATAACTGTGGGTGGGATTAATTATTGGTCATTTAAAGGGATTCTCGGGCTGTTTAGAACAACACTTCTCACGAGAGTGAAAAAGTCCCAACGAATTTTCTCCCGTCTCCCGTTCTGGGCCTCATTTTTCCTGGATTCTGAAATATTATATTAAAAATATGTTACTTTATCGTCATTCGCATTCGAAAAAACAAATCCTAAACGAGCTTAAGATTTCAAGCAGTTTAAAGATGCGGCGTAATTTGCGTTTTGTTGGAAGGAACACGAGTGTGTATTGCCGAAAAAAACTTCCCTCACTGTCATTTATTTCTGTGTTTTAGCTCAGAAGAAGGAAATTCGTTTTCCGATACCTTGGTAATTGACTTATTTTCCTGTTCACCGCACAGGCCAATCCAGTTTATATAGACTCTTTAAAATTAACAATACTTATATAGTTTCTTGCTGTTTAAATTAGCAATAACACAATTTCAAGCAGGAAGCCTGTTTTCATCTTAAAATGGTTATTTTGGGACATGAAGGTAAACAAAACACCGATTGACAAGGTTACTTAAATCATATATTACCAATGAATGCGGAGTTGAGTAAGGGCAACAATTTCGAAAAGGGATTGCATGTTAAGCAACATCAACGGAAGATACTGTTTTAGACAATATTAGTGAAGAATACAAGGTTGTAAAACGGAATGAGTTATTCGTTTGGTCAATTTGGAGTGCAAGTTCTAGATATAGTAGGGTCTTAAGTCTAAAATGTTTTGTAATAAAAAAATAAATAAATACTGAAACATATATAACGAGAACAAATTAAAAATTAACAATATTTGTACATTACAGTTTCACATATCATTTAGTTTAGAATATAAATATTTTTAAATTGTTAGGAAAAGGATGTCATTCTCAAAAACACGAAACTTCAACATTAACAAACTAGAGAACGGATATGCAGTCTTAAACAATGAACTTTTCAAACGAGGTAACGTGACAATGGCAATGATTCTCCTAACAACTTATTTAAAAGCGTTTTGTAACTTTTCACATTTTACTGCAAACAACTGTATCCAGGGACGTTTGACTTCCATTGGACACATTCGACTCTCCCTCAAAATTAGCACCTTTCTCTTTCTCCGTTGGTGAAAGCACCAAACAAGAATTTGAAAGATGCATATTTGAATCATCAACACTTAATATAGATGGAAACGTAACTTCTGGCTCGTCACTATCCCTTGCGCCATCTTCTGATGGCCTATACATCTCTACCATTTGCATCAAACAGTCTCTAAATAGTTCACTCTGTCCGTCCATATTATGAGTCTCACCCTAAAACGCCATAGCAGGTGAATCCGAGTGCAACACTTGTCGGGCTGTTATTGCCAATGGGATTTAAGCATGAAATTACCTGTTTAACCCTCAAGAAAGATCCTGCGAATCGCCAAAGTCCTGCAAAACCGCAGTTTTGCAAATAATGCATATTCTCTTGCGTTGTACACTCGCACGTAATCATTGTTTGTATAATAGTGCGCACAGCAGCCAACGTCTCCAAATCATGGTTTCCAGTTAATATGTATTTTAAGTTTTGGTCCAATAAGTTATATCTGATGGACGAATTTATAAAACCGATTAGCTTCCATCAATAACGTTACTGCTAAGAACTTACATTACTGGAAATACCCTGGGAAACACCGTAGCACCTTCAGCTAGAAACTGGTAGAGAGTTCGAGTTTCTATTTCTCCAGTACTGCACTTGGCAAGAGTGGCAAGAGTAGTAAGTACGAGAGCTTGTGTGCCAAAATCTGTTAACACCTCTGGATCCAAGAGAACATTATTTTCGTTGCTGACTGACGCTCTAGTACTTCGGTCCTGAAACCCAATCATAAGTATACGGTGAAACTTCTGCTATAAACCACAACTTTCATCCAATCAAATCTTATTTAGTACCCAAACTCTTCAAAGCGGCCCGCTTGCAGAACAAGCTACCAGTCTTGCAAGAACTGAACATTAACTTTTCATAATTTTACACAACTTATAGTATCTGTATTTAACAGTTTTACTGTATTAATGGTACTGTACCAATACTGAAACCATTTAATTAGCATACCTGCATTTGAGTGGTGGTCGTGCTGGTGGTTGTGGTCGTGCTGGTAGTTGTGGTCGTGCCAGTGGTTGTTGTGACAGGTTGCTTATTTAGTAATGTTTGTGTGCTAGTGGATTCATCAAGATTATCGCAAGACTTCTGCATTTGGGTCGAGTTATTGCTAACAGCGCTATTCGAGATTGAAGCCTCGGGTTGTTGAGGTACAGAACACGGACTCGACTCCATTAAGAAGTTTTCTTCAGACAATGAATTTGCGATGTATCTTGGGATGGAATGTTTAACGTGACATCTACTTCTTACTTCTTCTGAATAACCAATTAGTGCTAAAACAAAGGGTGTTGACAAACAAAGCAAAATGGACTGAGACGGTGAAATTACCTGTTAAATAGGCCACACTTTCTGGGGTTACTTCGAACTTATCTTTTTTATTAGGTTTGGCAACTATCGATAGTAACATCGTAAGAACTCTAATCGTTCTAGATACGGTCGTAGCAGTACTATGCCGATATCCCTTGAGCAAATGTCCCACTAGAGCGAAATGGAAGTTTGTTCTGAAGCTCAAACCAACATTGTGATCCATTTGTTTGAAATATGACTCCAGTGGATTTCTAGTTAGCATCATAGCTTCTTCCAATGACTGAAATTTAATATTATCTGTAATACAGTTAGTGAAAACGATAATTCATGACTACATACAGTTGTATCGAATATTCCTTGAGAGTCCAGAGTGTGAAGATTTTGTTCCAACAGTGCCAAACCCACAGCATATAAATTAGACTCGTTCAACTGCAGCACTGATACAGCCACCCAAAATATTGACTTGTGAATGGGGGAATCAGATGACAACACCGGCTGTAATCTAGTCAAGCACATTATGGAAGCTTCGAGCAAGATAATATCATTCCAAGATTCCAGCGATTTAATCATAGTTCGCATAATCTGAACCACTTCTGAATTAGTAGCATTTTTTGCAATGCAACCGAAGACTATGAGAGCTCGGGGTTGTAAAGCAGAGTTATAACAGTAGGCCAGACTTCTTGCCAATACAATCCATTGGTTCAGCCAATCACAGTCTTCGACCTCATTCATGCAGGCTTCCAATATTTCCAGAAGTGAATCAGTAATTACTTCTAAGGAACTAAGTGAGACTCGTTCTCTCTCTTGGATAGCTGCAGTGTTAGTTAACTTATCTCTATCATTTGAGGAAATAATTGAGGCAGTTGGTGTCGTTGCGCTATTTGGTATTGTTTGTGCCATCTGGCATGGATGCCCACATGCCTGATGATGGCATTGTATTCCTGGGCCTTTATCACAAGAAATAAACATTCGAGAATCTCCTGGGTGATTAATCCCCAATCTAAACGCTGTGACTGAGGCGTTTTTCACTTTACTTACGCCAAAGAGAACATAATATTTAGGCAATGCAAATTCGTCTAAGGAGAGACGTAAGAATTTTTGGACATCTTCAGAAAACCGGGGCTCGGTACAGGTACAAAGAGAATGGATTATATTCATAACCAATCCATGGGTTGCCGCTCTCATATTAATGGACCCCGCACAAACTAATATTGTTGCCGTATGGAATAAGTAAGGTAGATGGCGCACAACATCTAGACAGTTATTGAAAGAAAGCATGAGGAGATAGCGGGCCAAAACGGTTAAATCGTCCCACATGGAGTTATTTTCTAATGCAGTTATCGGAAGGATTCCTTCTGGTACCTTAAAATAATGCGAGTTTAATAACATACAATCTACGAGTAAAGAGCAATTGATTTTACCTCTATTTGCAATGTAGTAAGATTGCGGATGACTTTAAAAAACCTGGCAATGGTCTTTTTAGCCACTAATTGGATGTTAGATGAAGCAAGTGCGACTGTAGTGTCAGCCAAAACTTCTACCATCAAAGGACTATGTCCGTCACTAACAGAGCAACTGAGAAAGGTGTCCAAAATAATATCAATTAGATCGGAAACTTGCCCCAATGTACCCCAAATCTTAGCTTGGACCGAGGGATACATTTCAGTTTCTTTGATGGTCAACACAATCAGCTTTTCCAATATTTCGCCAACTTTTTTATATCTTTTATAGTCATCTGTAGGCTTGCAGAATTTCACCAGATTCGGAAGCCATGGAGTCATATACTCCAGACACAAGTGCTTCAATTCAATGCTAGACACTCTAAATCCCTGGATACATTCCTCTAAGAACTCCAAAGTCAAATGCGGCTCATTTGTAGCTAGCTTTTCCGATATCGACTTGATAAACAGAGTATTGTTGGATGGAATGCACAGCCCTTGCGTTTCTAAAAGCTGCCCTTCAATTTTCAAATCAAACGTAGCCGTTAGAGCACATAAGAGGTTGTAAGCTGCTGTGCGTAACATTGGATCGTGAACTCCCAAGTTCAATAATGCCATATTCAACAAGGTTCCTGGTACATCTTTCGGCCGAATTTTTTGATGTACGCTAACGGTATCCTGAAATTTAAACTCAGTTTTTCATCTTTAAGGGCCTGTGTTGCACTGTTACATGACATACTGTATATGTACTCTGGAAAGTTACATACACTTGTAGGTAAAAAAATCTCCCCACAATTTTCTATCTATTTCGATAAAGAGGGTTTACCATAGGTGATAAATAAGAACACACGTAAGTGACAACAAATTATTGTTCTAGATATTTGCAGCTGGCTGGTAGTTTTATATATAAACAATTTCATTTTATTTTATCATAGATCCAAAATGAAATTGCGGTAATCGTTTAGATAATTTTCAGTTTTTTTTCGGATCATAAACATTTGAATGGATAAGAAACTTCTGTTTACTGTACATTTCAGAATCCTTATGATTGTGTGTATCTCCTTACCTATGACCAAAAGTCCTGCAATATGTTAAAATGATGAGATAATAATAAATATGAAAATTAATAAATAGCACATTTCGCGGTAAAGACAGTTTAGCCTACAATGTATGTAAATTTTAGTTGATAAATTTACGCAAACCTGAAAAGAAAATTGGTTTGGGATTGAAATGCCTGCATTGATAGCTCTGCGTCATACCAGAAGTAGCAGCAAGTTTCGCAAACTAGTTCACTAACATATGCTATTATGCGCTCGATTTTCGGGATAAAACAACATATTGATGACATACAATACATAACTGGTCTCTTAAAACGAACATCAGCTTCCTTAAAATAAGAGAAAATAAGGCGAAACATCCAAAACTGAAAATTTACACTATTTGATGAAGATTGCCACAAATACCAGAACACTTGTGCTCACAAGGCTTAGGCAGGAGACGGTAGAATAAACGTACGGGCAATTTCTTGAACTCCTAGAAATCTAGTACGATTCCAAGAAATTAATGACTTACGTTCGTTAAATAATTGAACTATTGATATACGTTTTAAGAGTCCAGATGAGAGACAATTATTGGTCGTTTCCAACGAATACTTACAGGCTGACTCAGTTCCCATCTGTTTCTTATGTGGATAATAGCTTGTACAATAGCATCACAATCGTTATGGATAAAGCTCAAGGGGCCACTTTCGTTAGCTATAGTTAAAGTAAACTGATTATCATCGACCAAACATACTTCTTCAATTTCAGAAGCGTAATAAACATCGTTCAGGTAAATAGCATGAGCAAAAACTTTGGTTCTTTCTGCCGAAGTAATTTGAATAGCCGTCGGACCTACTTTTATAGAAACTTTGGTATCTTTGTGCGATAATTTTAAGGCATTATGAAACACTTTCAAGTCTTCATCTAAACTTAGCGTAGCGCCTGGAAGTTTCTGTTGTTCTGGATCAATATAGTCGTTTATTTTCGAAGGGTGATCTAGGAACACAATTTTGCGGTTCCCCTGAAAAGTACAGAAGGTTTTAATTTACAAAGCGCACAATAAACCATTAGCTCGTTGAAGACATCAAAAGTGCTATTGGAAACCTAGTCAAAGTTGTCTTGGGGGTCAAATTTATAAAGTATACGTGCACAAGTTTACCTTAAGAGCACCAAATATTCTGTCGTGATATTTGGTGTATTCCCTAACCCAACTGTTGCAATTATAAATATAAGCTGCATGGATATTTTCAATTGCTACTTCAGGTAAAACGCAAAACCACCCCTGTAAGCATTCAGGCCTAAACCTATTCTCAGAACTGGTTCGTGTAAAATCAACTACCAGTTCAAATGGAGCGTGACAAAATGGTTTAAGAGTTAAAATGACATGATAGATTAATAAATCGCCGTTTGTCTCTCCGATCCTGAAAGTACTGTTTCTGAAATTAACTGGATCTACAAGAATATCTTGGGTATTACTTGAATCTCCTGGCAATATAGTAAAATACTGGAAAGCCAGCCCGGCTAGTGCCGGCTTGATAAAAGACGTTCAGCGCTTTTACCGACTTAAACTCTTCCTTTTCATCGATGTTATGACGAGTCATAAGGTCTTCGAAGTTACTGGACGACATATCCAGGGCACGCCACCTTGGGTTAGTTGTAAATAGTGTACTAAAATCGAAATAGATCTAATAATTACAATCACTACCATGAAATTTTCGACTTACTGTGAATCGAAAGTCTTATGCTCTGGAGGCCCTAAATAAGCCAGCAAAGTAGCCATTTTATCAAAGGGACGCCTCCCTACAGATCTATGATCTCGACTACTGGACAAGTAATCTCCTATTTTCTCCTGATGATTCCATAAGAGCCGATGCAAAGTTAAAATATTAGCATCTGAGATGAAGGACCTAGAATGCGACCCTTCATCGATAGTTTCACAATCTGAAGCAATGGTGATAAAGAATCTTCTTCCAGTTTCAAAGTGACTCCTTAAAAAGTCGTTGAAAGGCAACATATGTTGTTCTTTGCTGAATTCCACATGGTTCGCAATGTTTTGCAAAATCTTCGAAAGCAGCATTAATCCTCTTTTGATGATAGGCGGTATTTGTTCGCTAACAATGCCCATTTCATGTGGAGACACAATAGCTGGATTGATAAATCTCAAAAAAATCACTGTTCCCACAGCACCTATATTGTTTTGCGGAACCTGTGGGAACCGTTTGCTCAACACTTGATATAAACAGTGGCACATGGATCTAAGCTGTGGAGGAAATTTGTTTGCAGATGATACTATAGCATCGAACACTTTCTGAGTAAACGCCATAAGGTTTTTTCGGTTTTCTTCAATGTCTTCGCTGGGATCCAATCTGGCTGGATCTACTTCGAAACTCTGCAAAGGCTCTTCATCTAACAACAATTGGATCAAAGGCTGCAAAAGGTTCTGCAAGTAACTAGCGCCGTATATTTTAAAACAGAACGCCATTATTTTACTTCCCAGAGAATTGCCTCTGAATAACGTGTGCAAGCAATCTGACTTGTCTACTTCCCGATAGAACATGTTCCACAGCAAGGGCGATAAGAGATGTTTAGCATCAAAGAATGTCACCAAAACTCGCGCCAATTCATTCATTTGCAAACCTGTTACGACGTCTGCTAAAGCAATTGCAATCGGCAACTCTCCTTTATCGCTAATCATTGTAACCAGTTGTATCAGTTGTTCAAATCTATCCGCGAAAACAGTTTCAGCTAGAGTATCAAATTCAGTGCCTTGCTGCAGTATTTTCGTCAATACTTCTATGAAAGCTGCTCTTGTTTGGAGGTCCTTGTTGTAACCCAGATCTAGCAAAAATGAAAGCGATCCAAAATAGTTTACTAGATGCAGCAAATAAGAAGAAATCTATCATTTTGCGCCAGTAAAACGTTAAAGTAAAGTAGTCTAATTTAAGATGGAATACCTACCGATGGAATGCATTAACCCACTATCAATGTTTGCTGAAAGAAGATTCGACATGGCTTGTATGGTTGCGCTACGCAAATTGGATAAATTTTCAGAGTTCAGACGATGTCTACACTCTTCGCTGTCTGATAAATCTAAAATATCTGATCCGCTCAAAGGGTCGGAGCAATCATTCAAGAGGTTCATGAACAAAGTGAAGTACTTCAAGAACAACTGACTCTTGGCTCCCATCAGGTCCCCTCCATCCGATTCTTCAGGTTGCAGGGGAAGAGCTCGTAGTAAAGCCGCTACAGCTTGCATAGCCGACTGATCTAATTCTCTGGTCATATCAGTGACATCATTTCCACTGGGTGGTGAAATTTGATGACTAGATCCCATGACCCAGTCAGTGAGATATTCGACAAGTTTATTTCTAAACTTCATTTCTTGACGAAAAGCCAAGTCGTCTCGTCGGTCCATCATCACTTCAACTAACTGACATAGTTTGGTTTTTATGTGAATTGCATGAACCGACATATCAAGATGTCGAGAATATCTGACTATTTGCAGCATCATTCCTTCAATACTAGTAACACTCAAGTGTTCTGATGGTTGATCGCTTCTGGTGTAATCCAAAATGTTCTTTAATATTACAATGATGTGTTCTATGAATTGCGTGTTAAATTCTGTAACAGTGACTTGGCCGCTTTGATCGAAAAACTTGTCTATTATTAGTTTTATTTGTTCGAATAGAATGGGATAAAGAGCAGCTGCCATTTCATGACCTAATAGTTCTTTCACATGCTTTTGGATCTGCGTTCCAAATTTCTCATTATTACAGACCAGAAGTTTTAAGAGCAACTCAACAAACCTATGAATAAAAATACAGCAGTACATTAAAAACTCCCAATTCCCAAATTTCATAACACTTACTGAATGATATTACTGCCGTCATATTCACTAGGATGCGCCCTGGAAGCATTTACTGAGGCACAGCGCCTCGTGCTGAAGTTAGCTTCACTCATAGAACTTATTGTATTCAAAGAAGACATACTGGAATATCCAGAACCACTTCCAATATTGGTACTATGCACGCCATACAAATTTGGTGGATGCCCCTGCGATTTGTTTTTGGCTTGTAAACAAACACCACCGAGAGCACAAAGAAACCCGGTCATATTGGCCCATTCTAAAATCTGTTCCTTCTGAAAAAGAAACTCGATTGCTTTCCCTCCTGTCCGCAAAGTTAATATTAAATAGTGTAGTTCCGCATCTACATGGCTCATGAACGCGAAGCACATAGATTAGATCCTTCCGTTATCAACATATTCTAGACAAGAAACATTCGAGACCCCTAAAAATGCTACTCGAACTGCGCCCATAAAGACTTTATTTCCGTAGACCATATTGTAAGGTTTGAAGAGAGGAACGATAGCCTAGGAGGAAAATTAGGAAGATATTTAAGAGGCATGAACATTAAGAAGACAATTAGGAATGTGTGGGGCTTCTAGGATTGTATCATTCTAAGAGTTCTGTTGAGAATCAGTAAAATAGCCACCACCAGATTAAATAGTGGTAAAGTAGAAGTTTCAGTGCGCGGAAATCGTGACAGAATGAGATTTTTTTTATGGAGTTTACCTCAAGTTCATGCTCTGAATTTTGATGGGACGCTCGTCGTTTCCCTGCAGATCGGTGGAAAGGTTCCAACTGGCCATCTTCAGATCTGGTTTTTGATGACGCCGAAATAGTTTTGTAGCAGGCCGACCAATTTTTATACGTTTCTTCCCATGCAGGATAAACTCCAGTTGAGCAATGCTCAATCTTCCTTAGTAGCGCCATGATGCGCTTTTGCAGTGCTAACCGACCTGGACATAATATAACTCACATACAAGGTATGTTTTTATACGATTGTTGTTACCAGTGGTAAGAACGGTGGCAGCTTGAGCGAGTTCCATGTAAATAGTATAGTTTGGTACCATTGTGGTAATACTTATTTCGTCATGCATGCAAATAATTTCCGCTTCTTGGCACAACAATGAAAAGCAACTCATCGCAATGAGAACAGCCTCCATTTCAATGCTCCATAAATACATGAAATACACAACCTTGAAATTAAGATATGAAATACAAAATCAAAGCCGCACCTCACAGCAATATACTATGTGTACTTAATACAAACCAATTGTTTACCTCTAGCTTAACGTGGGCTTGAAGAGAATGACTAATAGAACTACCTAACGTGGCAAAGTCCTTATGTTTCGTCAAAAATGCATTTCTGTAAACTAAAATCTCACGAAGCCATTTCAAAATATCCGTATAGTTAACGTATTGGTGCTGTATCAATTTTCCAGAGATTTGACTCAAAACCTGAGATCCCACATCCCAGAAGGTGTTGATGGGAGCGTCAGGATTCCACATTTCAATTTTTTCTGGTTGATGAAGAACAAGCAAAGCATCCATTGCTTCCTGAACTACATCTGGCAAAGCTTGTAGGTGAACTAACGATACAAGACCATTTATCAAATCCAGAGTGCAGCTTTGAACTTCATGCCCAGGTTTTCCACGTTGGCCCAAAAATAAATCTGGACAAAAATGTATAAGCCTGACCATATATAATAAGATGCCTTTATATCCGGGTGGATCGTCAGCACCTGACCGGTACTTTTGCAATGAATCTTTGTTTCCTTTTAGAACATTCATCACACGCAAAGGCATGTGTTGGTTGTAGCCGGGAGAACTAACTTTACCGAGAACATCGGAAAATATGTTCTTTAATTGTAAAGAACTATTGTAAACATTATCAACCGTAGGCCACCAAGACATCCTTGGTTGGGTTACTATTTGAAATAAAGCCTTGGTCAAGACAAAATGATACGTTGGAGGTGAATTGATGTTTAAGCAAGCAAGGAAGCAATCACTGCTGTTCGGATACACCCGAAATACTGATACAAAGCAATCAATCATGCCGTCAATATCTTGATTGGCATATGTTCTCCGAGCGTATGGATTCGTTGGGTTAAACAGCAAGGCCTAAAATAGGATCAGCTCACTAATCGGAAGATGCAAAGTAAAATGCAACTTTACCTTAAGATCATTCATGATAGGTTGAACAATGATGAAAATAGGTCTAACCTTGATGTCCTTAACATATGTTGCTGCCCTACATAACTTTATTCCAGCTATGATGGCAGCTTCGATTGACTGTTTATTATTTGAATGCAAGCCTAACGACTTTTTAATATTATCAATGTAGTTCTTCTTTCTCACATATTTTGTAATTACACCACTAGTTTCGGTAACATTTAGGTCCTCAAGAACATTCTAAATGAGAAGTTATACATGAGTTTGACCGTAATAAGTCGATGCATGACCGAATACTTACTGGAACGAGAATAAGCAACATCATTTGTAAAGACCACATATTCGTTTTGATTTTCTTATTATCACTGAAAGCTTCGATGATATCAAACAGTTGGTCTGCGTTCTTACATAGTTCATCGTCAGGATTCGCCTGGTATTTGGAAAATTCAACTGGATACGTTTCAATCCAGTTCCAAATAGCACGTTCAAGCGATATCACGAATAATTGCTGAGCATTCTTTCGAAGTTGCTTAAATTTGGATAAACCCTCGAGAAAAAGCTTTGATAATTTCTTAGCGTCCACATTAATGTGTTGTATGAGTTCAATTTCGCTCAACTCCACAATCTCTTCGGACGAAGAAGCGCATTCTTGCAACTTAGAAGTAATTCTTGTAAAAACAATATTGAAAAAATTTACAGACAACGCAAAAAGTACTTTACTCGCTAATGAACGTAAAGCATGTGTGTTTGGATTATTTTCTGGAAAAGTATCTAAAACATAGAGTTTCGTTAAATATTGTTATCCGGATAACTACGATTGGTTTAAGGGAAAGCGTTTTAGTACCTTTAATAAGGTAACTGCAAATTTCTTTGAGCACCATTTTCAGGTTTTGACTTTCCTCCATAGTCAAAGAAATTGAGTCTCTTGGTTGAATGCTGAAGCATTTTTCTAGGGTGTCGAGGACTATAAATAAACTGTCAAAATAATTTTTTTCTTGTTCCGATCCATGCTTTTGATTCTTGTCGTACTATAAAAAATGCTGTGTAAACAAACTGTGCTAAATAAAACTAGAATTTAATTAGAAACTACTTCTTTATTGTCAACGTAAATCAAGCCAATTGTTAACAAAACTAATCATTTAGAACACCTACTTTCCTGTTGGATGCTTTATACTAAATTTTTTGATTTTGCTTTATTACACGAGCCAGTCTGCGGTGTTTTCTTACACCCTGACAACATCTGCTACATGCAGATGTTCTTCTATTTTAGTAGTATCGACCTTTTGCGCATTTTAGTATTAATTAATAGAGGATGAACAACAAACCTCACGAGGTTTAACGCAGCGCGTATTCCAATTGCTCTTGAAAACTTGTCCGAGAATGCATAATTTTATATAATCCGAATTGAAAAAGTTGGTACTTTCACCTGGAGTTGCTTGACAAAGTATCGCTTATCAATACAATTACATACTTGTTTTTTAAACAAAGAAAATCAAAGGAATTTGCCGATGCACCAGGAGAAAACAACTGATGTTACTTTGAAACTAATAGGGTACAACACACATAGAAAACCTTTCAACACTGAAGAAATGCCATTTATTTAGATAGCACGTCGTATAGATTCTTGAAATCGCCGCGCCAACGAGCTCTAAGAGCCAGGGAATTATGCTAATTTGAATAGAATTGCTGGTTTTCAAAATTGCAGCCGGAAAAAGTTGCTGAACAAAAACACGTAGAGATACAATCCGCAGGAACCGTTTTTTTACGAAACTGTTTATTCTAGTAAATTTCATCCCTGTTGAAAAAAATGTGTCACTTCCAGACCTAGTAAAAAAAAGGCCGGTAGCCTTCAGACCAACACTTTGTCAGTGATTACTGATTACCAACGGGCTTTATCAATGGGTCTGCCATAATTAAAATTGGTGAGCACCTATTATGGGTGTTATTGTCTGCAGACTCTGTTAATTGAGTGAGACTTTCACCATATTAAAATGGAGATGGAAAAAAAGATTAAGTCTCGCCTAGTAAAACGATTCATTGTTTTGCTCCGTAATTCCTACAACTAAATTTTCGAAAGCCACAGAGCCTCAGTTAGAATAATATTATTCAGTTAGCATTGTTGCGAAGTAATCTGGGTTTGTATTCATACAATTTTATATACCTTTCGTCAGATAGTTGGTTAGTATTTATACTACTGAACAGCAATATCATGCAGAATCAAGCACTAGCAAGCGGTATCAACAAAGTACATTTCCTCAACACTGATGCCTTTAGAACAGTTGCAATAGAAGTGAAAAAAAAACAAAACGTAAATAATAAAAAAATAATTTATTGAAAACTATTACAAACAATTGATATAAAAAATAAATTAAATTAAATTAAGTAAGTGGTCTTAAAGATAGGTTTATGAGCGGTGAAATAGCATAATGAAATCTAATCTGGATGCCAATCTTTCTCTGATGGGGGGATGAGTGAAGTGCGAGAAGTTCTTAACAACTAACCATCTAAGTACCTATTGCGTTTGTTAGTAAGCAAACATACCAGTAACTAAAAGCAGTATGCAATAGAAGTGCATAACATTGGTATGCCTTTCTATCGCAAAAGTTGGGCAAACTAGAAAACCACACTTATTGACTGAAGAAGCAATTAATCAACATTATTTATTCTTCATTTATTTTGCGAAATATGACTGAAATTATTTTATTTGTTAGAAAAAGGCAAAGTTAAGGATTAGTAAAAGTTGCAATCTAGTGATACTATGTTATTGGCAAAGAGTTGCTAATCCTAACTAGTGAACTGTAGCAAGTGTTAGTAACGTAATGGTTTTTAAAAACATTTTACATATGATTGATTAATGGCCACTGAGCAAGACAAGAAGCACAGTTGTTATGTGGGTGCAGGTAGCCAAATAAGTGAAATTAAAGACCATTTTAATTCATAATTATGCCTAAGTAAAATGCACAGGGAAAAACAACTTACAGTTTCGTTCACTTTTTTAAGGACTTTAACAAAACCATCAAGCACTAAAGAAAACTTGTACTTAGATATTTGAATGATACAGTTTTTGTTCTGTTCCTGATTTAGAGTGGTGTGAGTTGTTTGAGGACCAATTCGACAAGGTAACTAAAATAAAAAATAAATTGAGAACCAAATGGACTTCTGGAATTGAATTATCAGTGGAGATGTAAATATTGATTAGTTGGTGGGCAGCATCACCCGATGGTATTTGTTATTGAACAATTAAACCGCGTCACTCACCTGATCCCCAAATCTGTTAATTAAGTGATCAGCCCATAAGCTCGGCTTTTGCGTTGCCATTTTCTTTTAAAACACAATTTTATTTCACATTTTCTCTGAGCTCCTCGTACAGCCTGACATTTTTGGAAATGGTGCAGGCTTGACAACTGACAAATCTTGCATACAAGCGTAGAACACGTTACGATTCCTATTCCTACCTTAGAACATTGTGACCGGAACGCAGTCCAATATTCAAACTCAGATCCAACATGGCGGAGAAATCGTTAATTTAAATTATTCACGATTAATTAAGCGATTTAATTGATTTAGGCAGCAAATATTTGCTGAATTCAGCAGGGGGTCGCAAACGCTCCTTTCCAATATTAACTGAACTTGATCAGTATGTATTTGACCAAAGTAGATCGTTTTTCATCTGATTCTTTTATTTTTGTTTATATGATATCAATAGCTGTGAATATTTTACTGCATGCATCAACAGGCTGCTTTATTAATAATGTCACTAAAGGTCCTCGAAATGAAAAATATGGAAAATTGCGACGAAATAAAAAACTATTTTGGCTATTGGCTAAAGGCATTAGAAGCAAAGAAATTCATTAATTATGTTATAATCACTTGGCAGTTTATATTATTAAATTTATATTTTTAATCGATGTTTCCGCTTTGATTTTTTAAGGAAATTCCTGAAGCAAGTATGAATCTAATTGCATTAGAAATTAAATGTTGTTAGCCTTTTACTTAATGTTATAAAAAGACAGTGAAACTGATATTTTATGGCTGATGCAATATAATTTTGGAGAAAATAATAGGAATTATTAGATATATTTGAGATAGGTAACCAAGTTTTTGTACACATTTCTAGCTACTTTGTACACATTAAGTTACTTTTCTTCATGTACCAGTGGCATAATCTGTGGGGCAGATTGTGCCTTTGGAACCGAATAAAATTTGATTGTTTATAGAGATTTGGTTTCTCTTTGAAGCGTTATCTGTAGCCATTTGTGTTCTGCTAGTCCAGGGGGTGGTAAAAATTAAGCACTTCAGATAATTTTTCTAGAGGGTGGCAAATGAAAAAATGCAAAATTGAGCAAAATTTTTTTTGGACACCAAATACCATGAAACATTTTTTTAATTTTTATTTATCCCTTTTATTTGCAGGCTGATCTCAAAAAATCATTCGGTCTTGCAGCGTTGACTATTATGCACTTAGTCCAATTGTGACGATCTAAAGCTCATGTTGAAGCTTAAACTTCCTAGACAATTTAAGAGAAAAACTCAATATGCAGGGTTGCATAAAAAACTCAGAATTGCCCCGAAATCTGTGTTCATTCATGCAACCCGATATATTATAATTTTTCTAATTCGACTATGAATTTTTAGCTTCAATGTGAGCCCTAAATTTAAAAAATCGATTCAAGAGAAATCAATTTACTGCTGAAAGAGCCACAAGTTGATTTTTTTCAGACCACTCTGCAAATAAACGAGATGGTAGACAAATTGAACAACCTTTATCGAGATGAGATACTCTATATTAATGCTTGTGGTTGAAATAGAAAAAAATCTATGTAACTAAGAGATGTGAAACTTGCTCCAATTTTGCATTATTGCATTTGCCACACCAGGTGCAGCAACTTTATCCGTAGCAATAATTGAATGCAAAAACACCCACTAACCGAAAAATACTAGCACTAAATAACGCTCCAAACATAAATCAAATAGCTGGCAGCAATCAGAATTAATCCAGCTCTAAAATTAGTCGAAATTTGTTCGTGTAACGTCTATTTTGTTGAGCACTTAATTAAGAGATTACGGACAACTTTAATTTTCTACATTTAAACGATCAACACACTTAAGATGGATTTACCCTGTATTTGACTAGGATGACCAGCAATTCGTTTTTTTTTGGTTGGACTGGGTGAATAAATAATCATATTTACAGCGATCCTTTAAAATCTTCAGAAAGTTCAATATTGACGACATAGTTTCCAGTTTATTTCAACTAGTTGGTTATTGAACTATTTTGTGCATGAAAATTCGTACAACTAAAACCATGGATTTAAAATAGAAAACTCTCATACACTTATTTCCAAAATTATTGTACTCAACATTTAACAGAATTAAAGAAATCGTTCCTATGAATAAAAAAGAACTAGTAAATTCTTGGCAAATTCCACTCTTTTGCGAAAAAACGAAGTCGTTTGGCGAAACTGGCATTTATCGTTTGTCTGCTGTTTGTTAATGTTCAATATTTTAAAATTATTTTAAAAACGGAACAATTTGTTCAAAATGAAGGCCGTTTTCGCACTAATTCTGTATTTTATTGTTTTATTATTTAACTTCGACGGAATTCTCGGGGAAGCTTTGCTGATGGATTTTGTTGATAGTCAACTTTCGGGTAAGATAGGAGGATGATAAGTATACATTACAGCTAGGTATTTATTAGGATAGCCCATTAACTTAGAAACTTTATTAAACCAATACGTGTTTGCTGCATAAAACCGGCAATGTTTCAAAATTGCAACAATATTCCACGTTGCTGATTTATCGTGTTCATAAAAAAATGTCCCATTAAATAGTATCTTCTAACCATTACTGTATTAACTTGTTGATAAAGTAAGTCAAGCAAGCTTTACTTACAAACTGCACCATAATAAATTCGCTTGAGGGAACATTTTAGATTTTTTAGTTACGTGAAATAAATAGATAGTGCTTGGCTTTCAAAACGATAAAATCAAAGTAAAATATGTTTTTAATAAAGTACCTATTTTTAATTAAGCACCAACTCCTTGCAATTTTTCCTCGGACTGCCATCATTTGAAAAATGCAGTCTGCATGGACGACTACTGTAATTGTAACGGCAGTAAGTTTTGTGTCAGCAATTTGGAGCAAAGACTTCTTAAGCTGGGAGAAAATTGCGAAAGTTCATCAGATTGCCTCATTGAAAATTCTGTATGCCAGGAGAGAAAATGCAGGTGCATAGAGGGAACTGCTGCGGGTATTGATGGAAGAAAGTGTATCAAAGGTAAAGCTCCATTTTTCACATCAGTAGCGCCTTAACTAATAACTGTTGTATCTTAGGTCAGGAATCTGTACTAAATGCTAATAACCAATGTAACAACGAAGGTTGCCAATGCAAGGCCGGCTATGTTTCAAACCTTGCATCTACTGAATGTTTGAAAATTGCCGAAGAATTATATTCTGCATGTGCTGAAGATGTACAATGTCTTTCCAAATTTGAAAACTCTATTTGCCATGAGGGTCTCTGCCGATGCAACGAAAGCTTTAAATATGATGCAATTGACAACATGTGCTCTAAAGATTTATGTAAGTATTATTTATTTGCCGAATTATTTGAAGAAAATGTTAGTTTTCATTCTGATTTCAGCTTTCATTACTGGATCCTTGAACGAAAGTGACAGTCGGACTCCAACGGGATGCGTTGATGGTATCTGCAAGGAACAGGAAGTTGAACTTTCTCTCAGTAAGTGTGCTTTAGAATTATCCTGATCTTAACCAATCTAACAAAGCGTCCCATAAATATTCATTCATTTGGACAGGAGGTATAGTTAAGTTTTCTTTTCCAGGCGGTAGTACCCTCCTAGTACCTTCCGCGTCTCTTCTCATATTATTCGTTGTGGCTTTATGGTTCAGCAACAATGTCCAAGTCATTTAGAGCCCAAATTCCCACCAGGTTTTCATACAGCTTGAATTTATCCTGGAAAACAGCAATAAATACTTTTTTAATGTACATATTTCATGAGAATATCGTTTACTAACTCGATTAATATATGATGATTGATCAAATCTATGCATTCAAACGGTTTTTCTTATGAAGTTACTTCACTGTCCCTATCCACTTGTGAACTATAATTAGTGACTATGGAGTAATTTTAACATTGAAACATGCATTATTAATACTTAAAGCGACGACTAAAGCCCATGAAACAAATATAAGCAATGCAGCGGCAGCAACCGCCTAACGATAGGTATATTTGAAAATACTCGCAAAATATTTTATGTACTTTATTAGATGGTACCCAACTAAAACACATTATCTTTATATGTGGAAGCTTCAAATATATCTGAGCTTACTGAAAATGACAAAGACATTTTTTCAAATAGAAAAGCTAAACTTCCCTTTGCAAACTGTCTCATGTTTCGTAAATGCGTCATTCTGGCAGTTGCACCTCTAATTCATATTCTGCTTCGTTAAACGTTCTTTTTTGGACCAATTGCGAATATGAGCAATTTTTTTTTACAGAAGCAGATAACCCACGCATAGGTGCTCTATGTGATGGGTTTCGAAAGGAGCAGAAAATCGGTTGTACGGTTGGTAGGTGCGAATGCCCAGAAGAACGGAAATTCTGCACTAATAGGGCAGAGTTGAGTAGGCACATGAATAAAGGGCAGAGTAAGAAACGGCTAGACTCTAGAGCGAGTTCTGTTGATTCCCCCAAAATAGAACATATTAGCCGCACTTATACACTTGGACGTAAGTATCATTTTTTTTAAGTAAAGGGGCTCTATTTTTTTAAATAAAAATCGTTTTGAAGCTTTCTCTATAGTCAGAGAAGTTTAACGTTTTAAGTTCTGTAAGCGTTTCCTAAAATAAAAGTTAATTCAAGCATGCTCTCTGGAAATATGCCCTTAAGGCTTGCTACAACTTATATGAAGTCTAAAATAAACCGTGAACACGGGCTGCAATCTTATTTGATTGAATCTCTTTTCTGTCTTGTCGTAATCTGATTTGTTTGAGAAACCCGGATTTTCAATGTTTGCTCTGATTTTCTGCTCACTTTGTATTTATTGAGCTGTTAATACTTTCACAACTGTACAGTTACTTAATCAATTGACATATTTTTTTGTTCTTTGAGTCATTTGGATGGTTGGATTCGATCATCGGCTTCTATGTATCTTCTATAGTTAGCTGATTTGCTTAGATTCGACAAGTTTGTTTGAGCTACTGCAATTAGGGCCGATTGGAATTCATTTATCGAATACATATGTATGAGTGTATTTTCAACCAACAACTTTTGATTGTTAACTTAAGACCCATTATTCTGGTCTGTGTGTGATCTTCAAAATATCTCTATTGTTTCAGGTTTCCAACAAGATCTCGTTGCATTAGTGAAGTACCATGTCCCGTTCATTGGATCATTCGCGGGGGCTATAACAATTATCATTTTCGGCTTTTCTATTCAGGCGATCTGTGCTTATTCGAAATGGCGCGGCATGGTTGCTTTATGCACATTAATATTTTTTTTAACTTGTTGGCTGATATATTTGATCTATCAATTAGAGTTGGGTCAACTGGTCTTGACTTACTTCTATCTCGGGGCGATACTCTGTTTCGGTTTCCTGTTTTTCATCGTATTTTTTGCCATTTTGGAAAGGCACCAACGGCACCAACGGTACCAACTACGCCAACGACAAAATTAGCCGTAAATTAAAAGAAATACCTACTTTTTATTTTTGCATATATTTTTAGATTGAAAGAGCGTACAGCCGCTTAGTTCTTTGGAGATATTCAAATCTTATATTTTTAAAGTGCAATGGAATTGTGATCAAAGGTCAAAATCGTATTCTCTCATACAAAGCAAATTATTAAGTGGAATTGAAAGTCTTTTTTATTGTTTCAGGATTCGGAATTCCGAGTGACCATCATGAAATTAAACGGAAAGAAAATTTAAGGGTGAGACGTCAGTTCCAAATTAGCGTGACTGGGGTTGCTATCATCCTTATAACTACTTTTGTCTTATTTTATGTTCAAACTGATGAGACTCATTTGTTTGTACTTTTCCCACTTTTGATTTTCTGGTTATGTAAAACTGACTATACAGCCTGGTCGAAATTCGGCGATTTGTCTGCTCTTTATATGGTGAACGCTGATATATTTGTATGTTTAGTATTGCTCTTTTCTTGGTACTTTTACCGACGATTCTTTTCTTCACGTAAGTCTCGAAAAATACCTGTGCGTAGACATTCAGACGAACATGATCGTCCATTTGTGCGTCGCTATGTGTTCCCACCGGCAAGCCCTTGAGGTGGCCCAGAACGAAGAAGACAACACCAGGACTAATTTCAGAATGGATTTCACTACTAAAGCAGCGCCATTATTTGGGGTAAAAACGATTATTGTTTCTTTACCGCCCATCTACTTTTGACTTAATATAAAATAGTTTCGTAACTTTTCATGACGTTAAATCTGTTCCAGAAAAGTAGATTCATCTATCTCGACCGTTAACGGTTTTGGAATTTGCATCTCCTGAAAAAATATACCTAAATTAATTTCAATTCATATCGACATAACTTGTTTTACTACATATGTTTTAAATAGTTTTAAATAGGTTTTTCAAAGTTTAGGTTTCGGGTTCGGCTGGAGACTATTTTTTTACAAAAAAATCTAACTATTCTAATTCTAAAGTTCCAACTCACGTAACAAATCAAAATTGATATATGTAAAATATTTCTAAAAATCTTAAACTTTTTTAAAACTAGGAACGCACACTTCGTATATTTTGTAGAATTCTCAACGTGATGATCGCATATTATATTTAATGAAATTGTGATAATGAAACAATCATAGACACGGATGAATTAAGTAATTTAAGTAATTGATTAGTAAAGCGGAATATTTCAGGATATTATCTTAGGAAACTAAATAAATTATCATACAACTACAAAATTCAGAAAATGTAATAAACATTGCGATATTTATAAAAATTATCGTTTTTCCTGCTCGACTACACTTTAAAAGAAACAGTAGTTTTAAGACGAAAATCATATTCGAACTGCTTTAACCACATTTGAGCTGTAGTTTAGTTAACTGAGTTTAATCGAAACATATTTGGTTACATCAGTTAAGCTTACAAACATTAACGAATTTTCAACACATATTTTTTTTGTTTCAGTTATAGTCGTAGCTGTATTTCTCGGTGCTACTCCAAGTTCATGGCTTTCTAGAATAGCATCAGTTCTTAAGATTTATGCAGTCCTAATCGTTACTATGTTACAAGTTTTAAAAATTAAAATAGAAGTTTTTGTATCTGCATTTACCAAATCAATAACGCAGCTTTTGGTGTTATCACTCTATATACTTTTTATAACCTACTTTGCTTCTAAATTCATAGATATCCTGTGCGATAAAGTACCTGTTTATAGGATTTATTTTTAGTACCACTCTTTTATAACTTTAATTACTCTCATATGGATTTACACTTTTTTATATTACCGATTGTGTCTGTTATATAATTTAAAAAATGTAAATAAGAAGCAATTATATGTTTGTAAATATATGTTTCATTATTATGTCGGCCGTTGTTTAACTTGTCTTTGAATTTCCTTAAAATAAATCTTCTTATTCACCGTGAAGGACACCCTTGAAGGCAATAAATCAAAAAAATCAACATGAGATTAAAGCAGGCAGATCTAAAAGATAGGTGATTTGTGCGATAGGAAGCCTACTCCTCCTACTTCGTTTACATTTTCTTCGCCTATATGATAAGTAAAACTCGTTGATATGGTTCTGGTATTATGGATGTATTCCTATCATCCTCTACTTTCTGTCTTTAGTGAGTAACTAAATGAAGAAAGCATTAAATCTACTAAAATACAAATTATGCCACTAAATAATATATTATTATTTGATATGGTGGTTGAGGAAAAATCTTGTATCAATCATTTGTTATATTCTTTACTACCGAGTATCATAAATGGAAGTGAAATATATTTCATATTTTAATATCAAAGCAGTAATATTCTACGTCCTCTAAAAATTACAAATACGTAAAATTTGTTCAGTTATAAAAACCAACATTCCGCTGAAGAAAAAAAGCTCCTCGTGTGAAAAACGGATCAACATTCTCCTTCAAATTCCGTTAAGGAGAAACGAAACTTCTTGGCCAAAATCTCGTATTATTCGTTTGTATGTTGTGTGTCAATGTTCATATTTTCTAGTACTTTTAATTTGCTACACCATTTCAAAATGAGGCAGGCATTTGTGTTCACTCTAGTAATTGTTTTAATATCTCAATTCAATAGGGACCAGGCAACGGAGTTGCTGATTGAATCAGCTGAGAGTCGATTGTTGGGTGAGATTTGTAATAATTAAATATGATAATTTTGATTCAAATTGAATTGAGCAGTGGATTCACTGCGAACCGAAAAATACATTTTAAAAGAATACGTTAAACTGTATCTTTTTTGAACTATTGATGTTTGAATTAGGACTGAACTTTTCTGGACATAGTATGCCACGTGTTTTTACTACGTGACCTTACATTAAAATCCATATGGGCAGGAGCTTTTATATATATTTTTGCCAAAAGATTTTGTTTCCAAATTTCTAAAATTCATTGAATTCTTCTCGAATTCACGTATTAAAAATAATTTCCCATTTTTCGGTGTTATCAGAGCCGTCATGAATTTATGATGAAAGCCAGTGCCCATTCCAGGTTGTGCTAATTTCAGGCATTTATAAGACCTGTTTTGAGCCGATTAGCTCTGCCGAAACCTCTTACTTTTATAAGAATTTCCCTGTTGATGAAAAATTCCTGCAGTACCATTATTTTGATTTCAGACCTGAGAGTTGCTGGCTCCACTGACGTACATAATTCTTCGGATGGTCCTCATGAAATCTGCAAACAACTACATCAAGATGGATTTCAACTTTCAATGAGTAAGTATCAGTTGTAAAAATTGACTGTCTTACTTTAATGAGTCGGTAGAGAAGATCTGTTTTTCCTACCATATCCCATTTGTCTTATTGGCAATATCGAAGTCACTTGGAGTCAATATTTCTACTTGGTACACAGCCCGATCTTATCCTGAAAAGCAACAATAATTAATTTACTGATTCTTGTTACCGAATAGTTGTCTATAGAATGGCAAATTCATAGTTACTTATAGTCATTGATGAATTAAACTGAAATCAACATTCATAAATACTTCTTAAAGCATGAATACTGTAGCATGCACATTCATTCTACACATCAACCATTGATTAAAGCTACAGCAACACATCTAAGCAATACAACGGTTGTTACAACTATCTAACTGAAGGTAGATATACGAAGCGAAATAGACGAAATTTTGTCAGATTTAAGACTATTTATGATTCTATTTATTAATTCGTTTATGATTAGCCAGTAAATACCCATGATGGGTCATTCACTTTGAGCAATTATTGCAATTTTTATATTAACTGGTGATAGCTTGTTTAAAATTTTTACATTTTTTCCTAACACGAAAAATATTTGACTCAAATCATGGGGTTTTTATCGCTTACTGAACTTTACATTGTCTCGAATTTCATTAAATATCTCAAAACAAAATAAAATATGAAAAAATAACAAGATACAAAAAAGTTTCCAAATGAATCAGTGGAGTCGTTTTATTTAAATTATATTTGTCCCCAAGTTTTGATACAAAATAAAATGCGGGTGGCCCGCAAAATACCATTCCCATGAAAATAGGCTGCTAAAACTTAAGGATTTGCCATGTCATTAGAAGTATTTCTGTTCCGAACTTATGATGAATAAACTAGACATTTTTTTTCAATGCTCTGTCTCTTAGAAACGATGCGATTAGAGAACATTTTTACATCATGTCGGAACATTAGTCAAACCTGTTCTATTGATTCCCAAAGCTATCCAGATGAGACCTGAAACACCCTGTATAAAATATAATATAACTTATAATCAATAAATTTATGAAAATCTAAAGTAATTAAAGTAGTAAGTTAAAGAAAATATCAGCATAACACAATGAAATGGCGTTTACAAAATTTGCAATATTTCAAAAATGTTCTTTTGGACTATAATTTTTTCGATTTACAGATGCGAATGGACCAAGCATAAAATCTTTATGCGATGGATTTAAGAACAAGCAAGAAGGCAAGTGTATAGTTGGCAGATGCGAGTGCCCAGAAGAACGGCAATTCTGCACAAACAACGCAGATTCGAAGAAAAAATTTCAGAAGCCCATTATTTATAATGATCCTACAGAGCAATTCGGAAAGACCATGAAAGTACCTACAAAGAAAAGCAGCGCGTATGAAAGTAAGTACTTATATTCAAAATGTGTATTTTTGTTGAGGGTGATAAATTTTATTAAGTAGAAAGACAGGCTTTTCTAGCAATTGTCCGGTTTTAAATAATTTTTTTTGTCAATCCTAGTATTTGATTATCCATATTCTTATTATACCTACTTCGTTACCACAGTTAATATTGGAAGCACATTTTGTAGGACTATTAATGCTTGTGATATAAAAACTGTTATACTAGCATATTGGAATATAAGGATTTTATGATCGTCATTATTGACCATAAGAACTGAGAGTTGTACTGTGCTTTATCCACGACTTGTTCTACCGAAAGCCGCATGAAATTAGACATTGATAATTTTAATTTGACATTTATTCGTATAGCAGAGAGGTCCTTTACTGTCCTGTTCCTTCATTTTAGTAACGCTTCTAAAAACAGTAGTTTCAGTGGGCACTTAAAAGAAGATATATTCAAAATTATTCGTCATCGTCCTACATTCTGATTCACTGCGCACCAGGAAATAATATTTCAACTCCCTTGGGATTAATAATCAGTATATTTAACTACACTACTGAGGTAATTGAACAGTCGTGGATAAATTATATTAGCTGGTATCGGTCAGACTTTCTTTTATCTGAAAGTATCTCTTCTTTTCAGGGCTCATTAAAATTATTCTGGAGATAGAGCTGGATTTCGATGATAAGACAGAACTTGCAATTTTAACACAGTGTTATGTTTTCAGTGTAACGTTTACTTATGGTGCCATGTTTGTTCTCGTCTTTGGAAAGCCTCGAACAAGGAAGAGTTTTGAAAAATATATTATACCGTGTTATACAAGTATTTCGGGTCTGTCGATTGTGTGGTTTATGGGCTTCCGAATGACCGCGATTATATTATTCTCTGTAGAGATTTACATCCTTCTGTATGCGATTGCATATCATTTTTTGTTTATGCGAGGTATTGTATTTATCGCATATCTCGAGGAACTTTTGCGAGTAAGGCGGAATGACTAAAATCGCCAAACTACTACTGCCTATGAGGATGTACATACATACCTTAGGAAATAAAAAATACACGCTGATTGAGATCTAAGTTGTTGCTTGCAATCCTTGTTAATATTAACTTATGAGTTTGAGTTAAGCACTGAGTTCACATTCAAAACTTTCTGGTTATTAATTAATCATTTCGAAATCTTTACATTTAGTTGCAAAAATAATTGAGAATAATTTGTTCAAAAGTATATTTGGGCATGAGCAAACAATAGATAAGATTGATTGAAGATAGAGAATAGAATCTTAGCAACGTTAGCATTCTCTCTTTTTAAGACTCTTCAAAATATTTCTATTGTTTCAGGTCTGGATCGCGCCGTCGAAATAATCGTTCGATTTTTTGAATCTGTTGGTGAATCGTTCGGACCAATTTTTTCATTCTCTGTTCTTGCAGTTGGTGGCATTTTGCTTGTGGTGTTTATGTCAGTGAAGTTGCAAATATTTGCGGTCTGTTGTATCGCCTCTATTCTGGGGTATTTCGTCGTTCAAATTATGGTCGTGAATTTAGAATCGCCTGAAACATTTAACGGTTTTGCCGTTTTGTCACTTGTGATTATTTACGCCGCTTGTACATTCATGACTAGCAGAATATTAGTAAACATGATGCGAAACCTTGCAAATCATTTAAATAATCACCAGGTATAATCATGTATTTTTCAGTTTAGTAATAATAACGCCTTCACTCAGTTTATAATGTTGATTCGTAAGTTCATAAAATGTTTCTTGTTAAAAGTTTCAATACACATTTATTTAAAAATTACGCTTCATTTTCTTCTTCGAATAAAATCCCACCTATTAGTAGCACTGAAGATATATCTATTGTTTCAGGTAACTCAGAACGTGAAAAATCTGACTGGGTAAAAGATGAGTATAAAAGATGGGCAAGAGAAACATTTTGGTGTATATTGTTGCTTTTATATATAATCACTACAGCTATTGGCGTCTTCGTTTATTATCCACACGATTGGACTTCGCAGATTCTCTTCTTTATTGCGAATCTTATTCCTTTGATAAGTTGTGAAACTGAATACTACGAATATGCTGCTTTCCGCATTGTTTTAAAAGCAAACATTCTATTCTGCATGCTACAACTACTTTTCATACTTTACTCTTTTCTGTGTTTGCATCGCGAGAAAATTGCGCAAAAACTACACCATTATCATGAAGTCCTTCTTATACTGGAACAACTAGAACATGAAGCACCTCAACCCGACAACCGTACTCTAGTACCTCGAACCCCACACACAGGACGAAAACTTTTTCATTATGGCATCGATCAATAGAGGTAAATTCAGTTCAGATTTCACTTTTAAAACAACAAAATTATTTGGCTTGATATGTTATGCTACTGTTGTTATTGTGTTAAATGGTTTCTACAAGGAGGATAATTGATCTTAATTGATCTTGCTGGTTCTACTACAACAAAGCAAACGTAATTCGAGGGAAAGCAACAAATTTGAAAAAAAATTGTTTTGGTTCTTCAGGTTCTGTGGTTTATTGGCTTCTGTCTGAATTGTAATACTCCGTACTTGAAACGTATTCGTAGGAGCATCACATCATCCAAATACATATGGTCTCCATCATCTTTTGAGCTTATTTGTTGCGAATTTCGATCAACTGTAAAGAATATGTTTCGCTGATGTTTGGCATGAATGGTCTACATGTAAAATTTCTATTGTATTTATAAAACGTATGTCCGAGTTTTGTACCTTCATTTAAAGAAGTATGCCTCGTCTTCGAATATCTATAATATATAAATTCCAAGTCCACACTGAAATTATCTCTATTGTTTCAGGTTATTCAGGACGTTTCGAAGCACTAAAAATTCAATTTTCAAAATGGGAACCAATAGTTGAATGCTTCTGTAGATTGTGGATTATTACTATGATCCGTTCAGCTATTGTCTTGCTCTATGCTCATACAGTCTTTGATGTGGATGTACTTCGATTCGTTTTTGTGCACTGTGTTTTCTTGACAGCGTTTAATTGTAGTTACGTAAAATATGGTTTCCCAAAAGTAATTTTAACACTGGACTTAGTATTAAGTATATTTGGTGCATGGTCCATAATGGATTTTATAAGAATAGTAGTGTACGCCCGTCAGCACGATTGGTACGCAGTAATGTATGTGCCTTTCCCTTATGTACATCTAGAAAGAAGATAAGGGTAAGAGTAAATCCGTTTTTAATTTAATTTTCGAAACAAGAGAATTATTTTGATTCGAAGAATATTTTTCTATGATTTTTCATCACTTTGAGACGCTATGCTACCGTTAGTATCATGTTGAATGGTTTCAATCTTCAATGAAAATTATAAAATATAATGTCACTTCACAGTCTATTTGAAATATTATTGGGCGCTGTATATGCTGGCATTTGCAAAGATTTGAATAAGTAATAAATTGGAAAACTCATTGTTCTTCAGGTCCACCGGTTCTTTCGATTCAGAATTGTCATATTCACGAGGATGTATTTGGTCATTGAATATTTCGTCATCATGGTTGTATCGAACGTTTTTACACTTGTGACTATTTACGGAGTATTTAATTAGCTCTTAGTCGTTCTTGGTTGTCCACCATCTACTAAACCTCTAGTGAGACATTCACTACCTTTCTTCTAATTATAGCCATTTTCTTTTATTCTACGTCGTATGTCACATTAAGATCTTGAAAGTGTGAAAGTTTATAAAATGCATTTCCAAGTTCCGTATTTCAGTAGCTTTTAATTTGAAAAAGTACGTTTCGTCTTCGTATAAAATCAAACGAATTAGTAGTACTGAGATCCTTTCTATTGTTTCAGATTATTCAGGAACTGAACATTTTGAAGCAATAAAACTTAATTTTTCCAAATGGGAGCCAATAGTTGAATGTTTGTGTTATTTGTGGATTATTACTATGTTCCGTTTAGCTGTCCTCTCGATATTTGATGGTACAGTCGGTCTGGTGGCAGCTTTTAATTATACTTACGTAGAATTCGGTTTTATTAATATCCAATTAATCCAATATACAAGTAAGAAACATTACTAATTATTTTTACTTGTATATTGGATTTTATAAGAATGACAAACGACCTCTATCCGCAGTATGAGCGTGTACCTCGGCATGATGCACTTGGAAGTATAGAATGAAGATGGGTGTAATACGATTAGAGGTAAATCCTTTTTGACTTCCACTCTTAGAACAGGATATTTATTTTGAATCAAAAGGTATTTTGTCAAATTTTGTATTACTTTGAGACGCTATTGGTGTGGTGTTGAATGGTTTCTTCAAGGACAAGGAGGATTATCTACTTGATCGATCTCGCAGTTATGCGCTTGCTGGTTCTGCTAAAACAGAGAAAACTTAATTAGATATGTCGTGCTTGAAAATTTGCGCTCTCCATATTATTCCCTAGACATATTTGAATCAAATTTAGTTTACTAGTTCTTTGGCTTTCGAATAATTGCAATATTATACAAAATATTGCACATGATATTTTTTTGTATTGGTGTCTTGAAGAAAATTGTGTTTTGCTGATGTTTATGAGGATATAGCTATGGAAGTTTATACAACGTTGTTTAAAATGTGAGTGTGGAATCGAATGGTTTAAGGTGTACTGTGTTCATCGAGGCAGATTTTCCTCGTAATTAATCTGTCGGTCGCAAGCCATTACTTCTAAAACGGAAAATGTTTGCAAAAAAATTCAGGGAACTGATATTAGGGCATAAGCAATAAACCACCATGATTGAAGTATCTGTTCTTTTTTTGTAATATTACATACTGTGGTGTCGCCTGTTTCATTTTCCTTTTTTGTAGGTCTGAAGTTATATTTTTCCTATTACTTTCTTCAATTTCTATCTTGCTTTTGGTCATTGAATATATTCTGATAATAGGCGGGGTTGCATTGAACGTTTTTACGCTTTATGAAATTAGGTATTTGTCCTTTTTTGGTATAATTTATTAAACCAGTACCATTTCCAGTCAGACATTAAGTTCAAAGTAGGCTCATCTTCAAATAGAACCAAACACATTTTTAGCACTGAAAATATCTCTATTGTTTCAGATGATTCAGGACGTGAACATTTGGAAGAAATACAATTTACGTTGTACGAATGGCAGCCAATAGTTGAATTCTCGTGTAAATTGTGGCTTATTACTTTCATTCGTTCAGCTGGTTTGGTTTTTTGGACTAATACAGCCGACTGGGTGGCTAAATTTCTATTCTATTTTGTGAACGTTTTTTTCTTAATATCTTTTAATTTTTATTATTTCACATATGGTTTTCCAGAAGTAATTTATCATGTGGACAAATTATTCATTGGTATAATTTTATTTTGGATTACGTGCTGTTGCCTAGGCGGGTTACTCCTTTCCAGAATGAACGAGTTGCACTATCAGAGTTTTGTCCTTCGGACTCGGCTAAGGGGACGTCGTTAGAGGTACATTTTCTATTTCCCTTTCAAAACCAAGTTACTTTGAATGATAATATATTTTTCTATAAATTTTTTATGACTTTGGGACTATGCTTCCGTTGTTATTGTGTGAAATTGGTCGATCTTTCCGTTATGCGTTTGCTGGTTCTGCTACAATCGAAAATACCTGTGAAAATAAAGTGAAAATTTATAGAAAGTTGGTATCGCCTGTTTCAACGTTTCGTTGTTGTAGCTACTGAAGTTATCCTTTTCGAATTATTTTCTTTAATATCTATCTGTGTGCCTTTGGTCATCGAATAATAATATAATAATAAATAATTTTTTGGTGACTACTGAGTGGTTGAGTGTTTTTATTCAGCCATCTGATAACATAATTCGCTTTTCCGCAATACATGTCAAAGTTCTACTGTGTTCTTTTTTCGTATGCGAAATTAGAAGCCGGAAATTACGAAGTCCTACAAAATGTATTTCCAAGTTCCTTATTTCAGTAGTATTTGATTTAATAGAGTTATGTTCGTCCTTATTTCGTCTGATGTTTGAATCAAATCACACAAATCAGAAGAACTGAAAATCTCTATTGTTTCAGGTAAATCAGAACCTGAAATTCTTGCTGGAAAAGATGATTTTGATGCTGCTTTTATCACCCGATTTCAAGCATACCTTGATCGCTCATTTATCGTATGGGTTTCTATCATGCTAGTTACAGCTATTTTGATTGCTCTTTTTGGTAGAAAGGATTGGGCGGCTTTATTTATGTTTATTGTTGTAAATGGCTTTTGCTTCTTATATTTTAATTATTATTACTACTTATATGGAATTCCAGAAATGATTTCTTGGGTGGATATAACAGTAGTAATTCTACTATTTGTTTTCGTTATATGTCCCTTTGTGTGTGGGGTGTATCGCATACTTACAACAGATCCGCGCCATAATCATGCGATTTATCAACCTGAACCACTATTCTATTCACCAGTTCAACCCCGTCACGGTCATGAACCGCGACCTCGACGAAGAAGGCATCTTTAGAGGTAAATTCAGGTTGGATCCGACATTTAAATTAAAACTTTTTCCAAATCGAAGGATTTTTTCTATGAAATTTCCGTCACTTTGATACGATTTGTCATACTATTGTGATTGCTGAATGGCTTTCACACGGAGTATCATTTATAGTGATCGCTCTTTCGTCTTCTGGCTTTCAACTTCTGTAACAATAAATAGAACTCTATTCGATGTTAATTTCACATGATTTTGCTGATTTGATATGATGCTTTACACGTATTTTTTTTTATTGAAATATGCGCAACTGTGGCGAATAAGTGAATCTATTACTTTCCTCGCTTTAAACTCTCGAGTTCTTGATGATAGTATTTATATCCGTAAGGTACTGCCAGCCACTCTCTACCCTTGCAATGTACGTAGATTCGGAACGTTTAAGAGTATATTTTATTAATGTTTCCGAGCTTGTAGATATTGTAAGTTTATTTAAAATGATTTACTTTTTTCGAAATATGCGCTGTTGAATTTAATATTATGTTGTCCAGTTGGTCAAACAAGGTGACTGCTGTCTGGCCTCGCTCATATGTTTTCATCGTTTCAAGTTCTCTAAGACCTTTTCATCAAATGAGGCACATCGTTGAATATATTGGGGCCACGTTGGTAATTTTTCCTCTCTTATTATGTTCAATATTTTTTGGCCTTCCGTGTCTTTATCTCTTTTATCTTGATGTATTTGGTGGTTGAATATGCGAGGTGTCCCGTAAGCACAGTATCAAAAGCGCGCTGGGACATTCTTTGGAAGAAGACGATCTGACGTAACCTTTATTAAGAAAAATGTGTATGCGTATCTGAAATTAGTGTGTGTGTACAAAAGCTTTTAAAATATGTTTCCATAAGTTCCGTGTTTTAATATGATTTACTTTAAAAAAATTCGAATTGAGTTCGACGAATTGCTAGCACTGAAAATCGCTCTATTGTGTTAAAGTCAAAAAAAATTTGAAAAGGCAAAACTAATTTTCAACCCAATGAGACTCAATAATATCACGTTTTGGTAGTATGTGAATTATTTAGAAGAGCTTTTCATCCGTACTCGTTTTTGTTTCCAATTCAAACTTAGTTTGCGCGGTTTTGGAGGTGAGAGACTCTATTCTTGAGGCCCGTTGTGCATTCGAATGTGCATTTCAAATAAGTTGATACCCCCCAAGATCATTAATTTAAAAAAATGGGAAAAAGCGGTAAATGCAAAAGTGGTTTAAAATTATTCAGATTTTCAAAATCTGAAACTAAACAAAAAAAATACAGACACCCTATGCAGTTTTAAATAGATTTTGTTTTAGTCGGATTATTTATATTACGCTTTAAAAATTACCTATAGGAATGAAATACGAGAAACAAACAAAAATCATAGATAAAATAACGATAGTTATTGCTACTGTAGATTAAAAGACAGAAGATTAAAATCCGTCATACTCTGTCTGTCTATAAATATGTAGCTTAATTTCAGATTAAAAAAATTGAGTAATAATGAACAACTTACGAATTTACTACTTTTCGAAATTAAAAAAAAAATCTATGGGGGCATCAACTTGTGTGTTGAATGGTTTCCACAGAAGGATACTATCTTGATCGCTCTTTCAGTTTTGAGCATACTTCATCTGCTGTAATAGAGCACACTTAATTAGATGTGGTTATCATATAAATTTTATATCATCAGATTTAAGTGTTTCGAGTGAATTAAAATTTTCTACTGGAGTTTTATGAGTTTAAAACAAATTTCCCATTCGCTGTCCTGATTGTTGAATTGTTTCCACAAATTTTATTTTCAGCACTTACACAAGTATAAGATCGCAGCAAGTATTGAGTATGTTTGACTAAGGTTTTAAATAACAATATGGCAATAACAAAAAAGTACGTTGTGTAAAATATGAGCTGTGAAAGCGTTAGGATTTTGTATTGCTAGTAATGCTTGTTAAAATTAATTGTGAGTTCACTGCTTTCATCGTACTTTATATATAATCAACTCTGGGTTTTAAAAACAGTTAAGATCCTGGCTTTTAACACTCTTCAAAATATATCTGTGTATTGTTTCAGATATACTAACAGCTGCCCCTAAGATGAGGCAATTTTTCGAATGTATTGATGGCAAATTCAAATGGGTTCATTTAGTAGTTAAATTTGCTGTTTAATCCCTCTTCGTGTTTTCGCCATGGGAGTTTCTTTACTGCTATATTTTCTGTATTTAGATGCATTTTTATTTCAAATTGCGGCAATTAATTCTGGGTTGCATGAATGGGCTGATTGTATGAACATTTTTATGACCATTATTATTTGTTGGCGTAATTACATATTTTACGTATTCAATTGTACTGAACCTAGTGCGAGCTTTATGAGTTTGATGACAAAATATATTAGATTCCTAGTGACAGATCTTTCCGCTTGTTGCTAGTAATACATTCACTTATTTTTGCGTAATTATACCCGTTTAGTAATGTTTGTGGCCTGTATCGTACAAGTCACAAATATATTGCAGTATTGATTGAGATGTAAAATTAGGTTTTGTGAAATGCGATGCAAAGTTCATTTTTAAGTGGCCCGTTTCAATAGCCTTTGGTTTGAAAATAGGAATTATTTTATAGTTGTTATATGTTGGAGTTACTAAAAATATCTCTATTGTTTCAGATTTGTTCTCGCTAATCATAGACGAAACGAAACCTTTTCTTAAAAAATGGGAGACACCAGCAAAAGTTTTCTGTTACACGTGGTCTATTAGTTTAATAGTTTTAGGGTTGTTCATTTTCTTTGGCAACCCACGCTATCCGTTTATGAAAAGTCTATTCTTTTTCGGCAATGGCTCTAATTTGCTATTTCTTAATTTTCTTTTTCACGAATGTGGGGTTGTACATTATCTTATTACCGTGAATATAACATACAGTGTTTTCATCGGAATTTTTATTTTCCAAAGTTGTGCTACTTTGATATTCGTATTACTCAGGCGAAATGAGCAACGTCAGCATCAGCGTCAGCCTCAGCAATATCAACGTGTTCCTCCAGAACCTTTAGGGCGAGAAGTTTTTAGACGAAGAAGACGCCATTAGATATAGCTCAAATTTGGTCAATGTTAAAACTAGACGATCATTTGAAATGAAATGAATGAATGAATGTTTCTGTTGCCTTATCGTCTGTTTGCCAGAAGCGTCTGCACTATCGTTAATGTTGAATGGGTTCCACATAAAGTGTCATTTGTCTTGATCGCTTGTCCATTTTTGTGTTTCAGCTTCTGTAACAATAGAGAGAATTTGATGTAAATTCGCTAACTCCATACTAAATTATATTGTATGTTAATTCATTTGAATTGAGTCTGACTACATATGTAAGGGTACTTAATACTTTTAGATCGCTACATATTTTATTATTTATTAGTCTTGCTTTCGCGAAAAACTATTGATCCCGTATTTGAGACGTAAACGGAATCAATAGAATTCAAATTGCTGCTGGATTACTTGAATAAAAAAAGCGAGATATTTTTACAAATTTGGCAAATGTGCCATAACAAGACAGTTACACTTTTCTGTCGATTTCATAATATTGAGAAAACAACAGTACCTACGGCTATTTGATGACAATGCAAATCATAGACTTTTCAAATTTAATTGAGCTAGCGTATTCTAGTACGTAAGTAGTCATGGTCATTTTGACTTGAAAAAATTAAACTACAACATATTTTTCTATCATAAAGTTTTTTGAGATCACTCTGGTTCAACACATCATCATTTTTTAAACACAAAATTTCTTTGCTTTCAGTGTGGCTCTGTGCAGCGGTCGTTTTTGTACTTCTTTGGTTAAGCTACAAGTTCATTCCAAATTTGCCCATTTGGTCTGTGCCAAAAATATACAAAGTGTTCATCATAAGCATATCTGAAATTGTTCAACATCGGCTACTATTCTTGTATACATACTTGCGAACTAGTCAGCAGCTTGGTGTATTGCTAGCGTTTTATATTTCTGTTTTTTCATTATTGACTGCAATAGTATATTTATTTGCCTTATATAACTCATAACGTCAGACAATATCAAATCATTCTTAGCAAAAAAGTTTTTATATTTAAGTGTTTGTCATGATTTTCCATCAGTTTAATAGCTCCTTCTAAGGTTTACAGTTTTTTCATATTACCTACTGTTGTTTGTTATATAATTGAAAGAATGTAAATGCGGAGTTATTGTGTTTGAAAATATATTTTACTTCTATTATGCCTGCCTTTTTTTTAGTGTTTCCAAATCTTAAAAGCGAGTTTAAAGTTTTTTGAATTGATTTAAAATTTGAAGTGTATTCGATGATAACTCTAATGTTTCTAATATTTATTTGCTTTTACACGCTATTGTTAGAGTTCGATGAGTAAAACGATATCAAATTTATAGCTGCAATAATCCAAGAGGAAAGGATGATAAACATAATTTTTTTTATGTACTTCTGCTTTGCGTAACTAAGGAATAAAATATATTAGTTTGGTTAGAAAAAAATAGTTTTTAATTACATTCATTTTGAATCGCTCGAAAAATTTCCGCTTTTAATAAAGAATCGTAAGAAAATCTACTGCCTATGCCAAAGAGCAATCTCTGGTTTGAGATTGATACTATTAATTTGATTAAAACGGGTTTTCAATGATATTACAAATCCTTCGAGCCCGGCACATTAACTACAATCGGCTCGAAATAGAAATGAACGTGTCGAAATAATACCTTCGAACTTACCAGCGAAGTCAAGGTATATAATAACTTAAAAAATACACTTATCTTACCTTTATTCCAGCGGAAATAGCGTAATACATCACCAAACGATCTAGAGTTTGGACCCACATTTTGTTAAAAAATGCCTCCAGATTTTTTCTGAGCTGCCAGAAGAAAGTAATTCAATGCATAATGAAATTTTAAATTAAAAGTAAAATAAAAACATAAGAGAATCTCCTAAATTAGAGTTAACTTAAAAATTTTTGACGTTCAAGAATCTACGGACATTTACTGGACCTCCATGGTCATTGAATCGACGATAATCGGACATTTTTAATTAATCATCGAACTAATCATATTTTGATTGACCTTTATGAATCGTATGTTAATATCTACTACATATTAATATTCTGCTGAATCGATGCGACATGGGGCTTTATATAAATTACAAAATGTAACCGGTAAACGATCAGAAATAGTGTCATAACAGAAACGAGTGTCTGGCACTAAGGAATCGAAGGATTTAGATAAAGGATAAGTTTAAACAGCGGTAAAATGTTATTATATTTTATTTATCTCTTGGATTAGCGTCGTCGCATAATTATCTCGCTAATTAACACGTTACTCACGTTCAGTTCTCGGGAAATAATCTACTTAGATCTGACGAAAAGCCCTGAAAATGTGTTGGTATGGACGGTTGACTGTGGTATATCGCTTTAGTGATTTAAAAACATTTTAGTGGAACTAAAAAAATGCTATTATTGTTCATTGTTCATGCTGAGAAATTGTACTATAATAATTATATATGAAACCATTGAAGAGAGTAGAACGCCTAGTAGGGTATGATTTACAGAAAAGAACCTTTTGGCAGTTATCTGGATATTTCTGAAAGAGCATTGCATTACTAAAGTTTTTAGTTCTACATAAATGGCTTTTTCCACTTCCGTTGTTCCGTGAGATGGAAATTTATTCAGCAAAACCATAGTTATATTAGAAGTTTTTCCGGCTTCAAATGACACTCTATCTCCTACGTTGGCTAAGGCCAATACCTGAAGCTGTAAATACATTGGAACAAAATCTGTAAATCTTAGAAGCCCATTACTTACCGCAGGTATTAATATGCCAGTGATACATTGGGCTAGGACATAGTGGTTAGACTGGCCTTTTAATTCAGTATTAAATTCGAAATATACTAGCAGAATCACGATGTAATGTAGAATCAAACCTATGGCCATCAACGTACCAAAAAGTAGAACAATTCCGAATATTCGGTTAAAGCTCTTCACCATTTGAAAAAGATCTGTATGCATATGACACATTTCTTTAAAAAAAAACTGCCGCTGTTCATTCAAGCTGTAACACGAGATCTGTGAAAAATTGACTTTTGAATAATGGCGCAATGCTTTGTTAAAACCTGTAACCAAGAACAAATAAATTTGGAAGAATATTTAAAAATTTCGCGAATTAATTTGCACTTGTTTACTCACCTTTAATCCTCAAGTAAATTAGGCTGAGCAATGCCATTGGCAGTAGCATTCCCAAGGAAAATTGACAAATTTGAATGGTTTTGGGCATGTAGAGTATGTACCAACTTATGCCTAGCAGAAGCGTCCAAGTCACTGCGTCGTATACAACATAAACCACAATGAGCACTATGTAAATTGTCACACCTATATACATTTGCTTCCTGATCGAAAAACTATCGAACTTCAATTTCTCGTCTATGTCATCCATGGCTTCGAACATTTTCTTTAACGCAGAACCTGAAACAAGGAAACTTTTTGATATTTTTCATCAAAATTCCACACATCAAAGTTGATTTTCAAATATTACCTTTAGACTTTCCATACACCAAGCTCACTAGCATGACCAAGCAGGTGAGAGTTAGAGCACAATGAGCGAACGTATTTGCCGCATGTACCGAAGCTATGGGTCCTGATGTGTTTTCTTTTTTATACATCACAAATATTGTAACGGCAACTGAGCTTATTCCTATAAAGCAACTATACATTTTGTACCATAAAAACGATAATGGCTGATCACTGTTTCTAGGAAACACCGGCGGACACATTCCAAAAATTGTACAAAACTTCATTAAAGGCGCCACAAATCGGAAAGATTTGCCGGATGGTTGTTTGTCCTCCATGTTCGCTGACTACTAAATACCACACGAAATTAACTATGATAAAGTACCGATAATTGTTGAAGCCAGTCTGATCTTATCAGCTTCATTCGCAGGAACTGTACGGCAGCTGATTAACCGACCTATAAATGGACATATTATACTACATTACTACATTTACACTTAGATACCACAACTATTTAACATATAAGTGACATCAAACAATAACGGACAGGAAAAATGAAACATCAAATTAAAACTCATTTGTATTTCAATCATACATTATACATATACTCCACAATGATCAATGCAAATTCAGTATGAATCTCAAAAACAAATTGAGCTACTGTAAAGGTAAACTATAATAAATTTAACATTGTTTTCTGCATATATAATCAACGAAAATAATAAACAGTAAAATATGTTCTCCACGTACTCTAATTCATCTAAGGAAATTTCATGGGGGAAAAGAGTTTAGTTGTATTTATTGACATAGAAGCTCACTGAACAGTACAAGCATACTCTATTTGAGCCATTGTTGATAGTTAAAAAAACTCTTATTTCTAAAGTCGGGCTATTATCCCTGCAGTCATTGTAAAGCACAAATTATAATCAAATAATTTTACATCCTGCTACCGTCTGGTGACAAAACTGAAACTGAGTTCCATCAGGTATCATCATCATGAAGCACTTCAATTAAAAAAATACTTCAAACCGTTTTAAATAATTTGAAGATGCATCTTGCGAGTGACTAAAACTGTAATATTGAATTGAGCAGACAGTAATTCAGTTTCGTCAGCATCTTTAGAAGATCTTAATTCAGTAATTATTCTACTAATTAGCGAAGGACACTATACTATTTGGTCATTTCATGCGAATGTCCCTCGAACACCTGTGTCAACATTTTTGGCTTTTTTTCCGAAAATCGGCTGCTAGGATGGGCGCTCTAATTTTCTCATTTGTTTTTCCAAATCACCAACGATATGTCAGTAAGTACGTCGGAACATTAAACACAAATTTATATTGATTATATTACAATTTATCTGTTAATGTTTGCTACAGGTTCGATTGGGATAGATTTTGTTTAGCTTTGTATATATTTCCTTCTCGCATACTTGCGACTCAAAAAATTACCATAGCGTGCTTGTACAGTAACTTATCTACGCGTGGTGGTTTTATAACAATTTTGAGCAGTTTTCTCATTGCTTTTTATTGTACTTCCTAACATATAATGGGCGTTTTTTACATTAGTTAGAAATTTGGTAGAAAATTGGGCTTGGCCATTTACCGACATGCAAAGTAGCCCTAAAGGCAGGGCATTAAACTACTAAATAATAGATATGTAAGTTGTAAGTAATGCTACGTTATAAAACGCCCAAGAAATTTTAATTTTTTTTATTAAAATTGTATTAAATTCTATGGTTTAAATACATTATTTTTAAGGTAAACAATTATTGTTATACTTGTCAGGTTAGTTGTTTAATTCCCTTATTGCCAAAACAATTTGGCAATTAATTAGTAATAATGAAGAACTTTCATTAAATACAAATAAGTATAAATATATGATATATAAAAGTAGAGCTTAAAACGTCATGTACGAAGTAAATTGAAATATTTCAAAATAATTTGCTGAATGCTATGCAGGGACGAATCAATCTTACAAAAGGTTCGGTGGAACGTGCAAACCCGGTTATTCAAAATTAATATTACACAATTTGGCACATATATTAGAACAATTGCTTTTCCTACTTAATCAACGTATTGGAACCGATATCTTTGCGAACAAAAACGAACAGTTTTAAAGTCACTCTCAAGGAAAAACTAGATATACAACAAATGGTATGAATGGAAGAAAAAATGCATTTGTGAAACCAGATGAAAATGAAACCACGTACATGGCGTTAGGTTCCGAAGCACGGGAGCTTGTCCGAAGAGTAACAGATCGGTTCGGAGCAAGGAGCGAGGCAAATGTCCAAAAAAGAGTATCTCAGATATGGGACACTATATTGGGCATGCCAAATAGGTAAAAATTGGTTCGGTAGACATCGAACTAATCTCTAAAAGGTCTATAGAAATTCAGGTACTGCCACCCATCTATGCAGGCTTGAGCTTAGTGGAAGTTAGGCTTGATGAAAGAGATCTTGAACCTTAAATGCATGTGCGTTTAGTCATCAGCTTAGACAAATTCTAAAGAAAGTCGATAAAAACATGACTTTAGTAGCTGTCTTAGTATTGAATCCATTCATAAATAAACACAAGTTTAGATTAAATTTTTTTATCGCACCCTAAGGCAAATATTCGATCGACTGAACCGTTGAAGATGTGATATAATTTCCATTAAACCTAGAGGATTTTGCGTTAAGTAATCACTTTGCATCAATCGCTTAAACACTAAACGGTCTTAACTCTCATTCGATAATTTACAATCAATATCCGGTTCGAAGGACCAGAGCAATCGAGACGTCGAGGAAGGTTAGACAGACGTAATACACAATGCTTAAGTAATAAACTGAGATCTTTGAAACATGCTTCTTTATGATAGAGAAATCATGAGTTTAGCGAAATAATAAATTTGAGGATACTATAAATGTTATCGAGCTGAAAGACTGCGAGATACAAGAAACGGCGTTTTTGCAATAAAAACTTAATACGATTTATGTGAACATATGAAACAAGACATCAAACTTTCCATGTGTAATAATAAGAATAAAGATTCGTATTGAAGTTTCCAATCAGTTTCGTCGCAGTATCCAAGCAATACGGATTAGATAACAGAAGAATAGAAGATAACAGAAGTTCAATGAATTCTACATATTCAATTTAGATGCTAGAAGGCAATAATGCTTTGGCATTCTAATTTTCCCTTGTGCATTCGAAATTGCTTGAATTATAACATCGATATTTATCTATCTCATCTAGATGCGCTAGAAATTCAAAAATAAGCCAGATTACAAAATGATTAAAACTTTTATTGATACTATTCTCCAAATAGGGACTTTTAGAGAACAACATGATGAACAAATTGAGAAAGTTTCCTCGACCTTTGAGAGATTATGCCAACGTATTGGACCTATTTAACTGACCCTGGTAACCCTCAGATTGAACCTTTGCCTTGTCCTATACCTCAACTGCACTCGTCGTTAGACTCAAGTATAAAAATCAGCGTGTATTCGAACGATTTTATATAATTCCTTAATCTAACGCCATTACAAAGTCCTAAAAATATTTGGGGTTTCTATACATAGCTGGGATGTTTTTAGAGAAGAGTTTTAGAGAGCTATTTTACGAATATTTGTCCACACTCGCGGCCTATTCGCGGTTTGAAGAGTGGACGAAACAAGTCGCTATTTTGAAAAGAGATGACATTGATTTCAATATGCGATGAAGTATTCGTAAGCATTAATATAAAATCGTTCGACTCTATACCACAATTCACGTCTCGAGTAATTTACACCTATTTATGTATAAACTCATCTTAATAATTCCTAGGTACTTATTTTGCGAAACTCATCACAATAGGTTTTATACACGGTGGACTCCTTTAAGTTTGTGAGGCATTGCCGAAACTCTTCAATTGCAATCGACTCAAGCGCTTGAGTCTTCTTTGTGTGTTTACGAGAAAATGGATACTAACATAATTTTGCTACGATGACTGAGAAGACAACTATGTTAAAATAATGAGAACAGCGAATTCTACGGGACTAACTAAACTTATCTAAGCTCTAAAGTCACATACTGATTGTCATGACCCTGACTTGATCATATGGAATGTTACACGAATGAAGCATGAAAGGAAGATTGGAGGATTGAAAGTTAATGGTTATACTTTAGAGCTAAGCACTTGAGAGGCTGCGAATGAATGAATGTTTCTGAATGCCGAGTTTTCAATTGGTTAACAAAAGGCAGACACGTGTGTTCCACCAACTAGATAGTTTTACCGGTTATAGTGTTATAGACTAGCTAAAATTTTCAACCTCTATTAACCAAAAGCAACGTAAAAAGACTTTTCCAAACAGCAGGCAGTAGGTTTACATCAAGGAACTACATAAAGTGGATAGAAGTTCCGTTTACCGGGTAGTTCAATGCGTTGCATTTTCTAAAGAAGTAAAGCCCTAGTAGCCCCTTAGGAACCTACTAGCTTGGTAACTGCGCCTAAGAAATCGAATTTACGCAAGACGGTTTTTAAACCTTTTGCCGTATTTCCGTGACCTTTTTCGTAGACATTTTGTGCAATTTCAAACGCTTAATATTAGATTGGACATTAGTGCCTGCCTTTTACTTTGTTTAGCTCGTGAATGGTTCACGCAGCAAAGGCATGCTTGCACATTTTTTTGTGTCAAACTGCCGTAGTATTCTGCGCTATCTATCACAGAAAAGTTTACTGCCTCTTCGAGTTTCCTGTCCGATTACTGCACTATTATATGTGGTGCCGATAGTAGTACAGCTACTGTAGCAATGACCGTAAACAATGTGAAAATAATCAGACAGAAACGGTCCACCACCATTGCTGCAAACTTCCAATCGCTTATTACTTCAGCTTCTTCGTCGGCTTTCTTCATTCTATTTGTTATGAATTGTAACTCCTTTAGTATGAGTTGCAACTCTCGTTGACTAGAACTTGTGCCGGCCATTGCTGAATCCTCAATAGTGGTTGCGCTACGTCCGAAGCCACCACCCAGGCTTGTGGTCATCATTGAACTATTTCCTGATGTTCCCGAAACGTTTCGAATATCATCATCTATGTCTAATACATTAGCTAATAAACTTTTCGATGAGCGTTCTTTCAGCTCCAATTCTTTCATTCTACTGTTCATCATGATGGATTTACGGGTTATTTTTTTACCGGGTCGGCTCATGCCAAGCATCCACGGTAACCATTGCAGGAAGACTGTTTTTATCTGCAAATAAAATATCTGATATTAATCCTCAGCCTAGGGTCTTTTGCTGAAGCTTACAAATATGATAGACGACTCTTCTTGACTTTGATACAGATGGCACTACTATATCACTACGAACTTTAGCTTACAACCCATTTTCGCCACAGAACTAATGCGGAGATCTGCGCTTTTAACCGGATTTTTAGGAAGATTTATTAACGCGCCTGGAAGGACGTTTCTGTCCAGCGGAATAAAATAACAACAATTTTACAATTAACAGCAACATTCAAACATGTAAAGCTAAATTAACATACTGCAGTTCACAAACATCGAACATCAAAGGAGTTTAAGAATAGCAACATAAATGATACACGAAGACCAATTGGTAAATAAAAAGCGTTTTAAGCACGAGCAAAACTCCTGTTTGCAATTCAAATATGTACTTACATTCCGTGTTTTTCAGATTACATAAATTTTACTCATGGAGACACTGTCTCGATTTCCCGTTTATTTTTTTGGACTATTTGTCGACAATCGAATTTTGACCAGCTAGAAGATAGAACTCTGAAATTTGGTTAGTAAATTCAAATGGCGGCTAATTGAAAACCTTCCAATGGATATAGGAAGCGATTATCAAAATACTTCAATTCTAACCGCCTAGGACGAAGCAAATAAAAAAAATTGCTAAGTTCGTCCATAATTGCCAATTTTGGAACGGAAAACTCACATTCACAGAAGCACCTAAAAATACTAGAATCTCCTCTATCTGTTGATGCATCTTCTCCGCATCAAACCAGAGCTCATTAAATTATTAACTTTAAATGATAAATGGACGAATTTTGAATAGAAAAAACTACTTACCCATTGAGGCATTTCGTGAATATCAGCAGTTCGATGGTGGTAATTGAGAACCACCACAGTCAAAACCACTGATGATGCCACCATGAACATAATGCAATTGAAGTAGGTACCTGCAAAATAAATCAGATCACACAGAGTTTACCCTGGGAAAATATAAGCTGTGAAGATAAAATTTGGGTAATTGATCAAATTTATCTCGAGTCTGGCCACCCAAATTTTATCACCACAATCCAGGTTTCGAATGGTCATTCACATCAAATCTATATGACATTCTATGCTATACTGAAACCAAAAATCTACTTCTACAAAATCTTTCAAACACATATTCAAAATAAACACAACGTCCTACAGACAGTCAAGTAACCCCACATTCACATTCACAATTTTTACATATTCACACATCGATGTAATGTTAATCTATTCAAAGACTTATGTACAAGGACACATTTCTACACTCTTTCATCTATACGGTTTATGTACAGATTTTCCCAAGTAGGCTTAATGTGTAACACGTTCCACACAAATCTAAAAATCATCGTCATTTTCATTGGTTATTTATATTTGCTGTATTGTACAAAATCAAATCACTTTCACAGTTAAATTAAGAGACAGATTCAGCCGATTTGGGAATTTCAAACAGATAAACTACGATCGTATCCTCCTCAATATAATCACAAAGCTCTAAGGCCGAGGTAAAGCGACAGTTCAGAGACCTTTGACATGTTTTAGGTCCCCACACTGTCTCAAACGTAATTTAGAACTGTGAAATTTTCCTTTCAATGGTTTTTTGGGTTTTTAGACGGGATTTAAGCATAGAGCGAGATAAGAGGAAGTTGCCAAGCTATTATCAAATATCAATCGTTCAAATGCTGGTTTGCGTGTCAAATAGTACTGATAGAGTTAATAATGGAAATATTGAAGAGTTTATGTGACAAATTAGTCAAGAAGAAGCCTCAAAAAAAAACCGCTAGAATTATAGCATATCTGCAACGCGCGTTAATCGAAAACGTTTTGCAAATTAGTTAAACTTAAACCAAAAATTAGTGCTTGACTTAAAACAGATTCAAAAGCCTTAGAACAACAAACAAATAAAGAGCCTTTCTGGGCTGTAACTTTCAGGCTGCGTTGAGATTGTCAGGTAGGTTTTCTTCCAGGATCTTTGCAAAATCCATTTTTTCATCTTCATTCGTTTTTCATGGACATTTACTTAATAACTTTTGAATGGCAATAAAACTCAAAGACAAAACGCGAAGATCCCTCAAGGCACAACCTCGTGTATCTTCCAATTAACTTTCAAGTGAACATCGACATTTTCCAGTATACAAGCTATTCGGAAAATGCGTTAGCAAATTTTAAGGGTGATTCAACATGTTAAAATAATGGTAGTAAGTCATGTAATGAAGATTCGAAATCTGAATATTTACCGAAAAACATTCAGATTTATAATTTTTCTTACATGACTTACCGCCATTGTTTTAGTATAAAGAATAACCTTTTGATTTTCCCCCGCATTTTCCGAACACCCTGTATATGCAGTCAAATTTTCTTGGCTTGTTTTGACTCAAGCACCGACTTTAAACATTAAACATCTTAAAAACGGATTTATTTCATACCTTGGTTTCACCGCTGCTCAAACATATTTGTGGAACTATCAAGGACTTCTAGAAAATATTACTAATCTCTCTCGCCTCAAAGCAATTACTTCGATTCAACATTAAAGTAAATTTATTTCATTTAAATGCGGTTTGAGAAAGAGGATGAAGAGATTTTCATGAATAATAAATGCAGCAATAAAGAATTGGAAATTCAACCACATTTTCTGGATGAAACGTGAAGACAAATAAAAGCCCGGTTGCGATTCCTCCCTAGTTTAATTAATTAACAGAAATAAATGAAAATCTACGTATCTTCCTGTGTGATTTTCGCAATGAATGTGAGAAGATGAGGAGAAAATGTAGAAGTGAAATATACTCTTACGCCAGCCATACAGACATGCGTTTCTGGATGAATTTTTAGCCTCAAACATCTATAGTGTTCTGAGCCGGAACTGAACGATATTTTAAGGGGTTTAACTACCGTACTATAAAGAAACATTTGGAATTAGTTTGTATGCGCTATTACCTGGCGATATGCGTGTGGATGGCTGGGAATCGACATAACTGATCTTCTCGTCCATCTGAGTATCGTAACTATTTTCTTTCACGCTCGCCAAACTAGGCACCACAACGAAAATTGCTTAAATTATCGCACATTTGATTAAGTTCTGAAAAGTATATTTCCATCATATAGAGGCGTTTTTTAAATAATGGAAATGTGCGTTCTTTTAAGGAATCAGGTGAGAAAACATCCTGACTAGTAATTGGGGAATTCTTAATATTATCACCAAACTTTACTAGTCAAGACATGATTTAGAGAATTACAAATGCTTTTTATACAGTTACGAATTACTATTGGGGCGGCAAATGCATTAGACGTAATGTAGCAGATAGTTCGAGTGAAGTAACTTTAGCAAAGTGCTCTTTAGATCGGCTTTGATTAAAGTAAGTTTAAATATGCCACTACTTAACGAGGAGGTAACGAATTTATTAAACAGTATTAACAACAACGAAAACAACACAAAACCAGTAAAACATATTGTACAAACAATTATGGGAAAAACTGAAACATGTCAACAACAAAACATACAGATTGATACTCCTAGAGGGACAGAGCCATTTGATACTTGGAGGTTTAGAAGGTCTGTGGCAAGAGTTAGCGCACCTTGTATGTGTGTCTGTGGTAGCAGCAAAGATAGCTTTTCAGCTGAGCACGTCAGCAGCCCTTCCTGGACCTTGAAAGGTACCTCTAAAGCTAGAAAAGGATTTCCGCCAATACAGAGGGAGGCCAGGCTAAATATTAGGGAGGGAGTAGGGAGTACGGTTAGTCATTTACATTATGTAACTTGTAATTACAGTTGTACTGCTCGACGTCGCTGTGTAATATGCACAATCGTGATGCTCTGCACAAACTTTGCTTTCCGATAATTACTGTTTGGAACTGGAGAACGTGACGATTTTGCTATATTTAAAATATTCATTTGCATTCAATACTCGACCACTTAAAGAAGTTTTCAAATTTCCATGCCCTTCACGGATATCGTCTATTTGTCAACAGACTTTTAAAATTGAACATGAACTTCTAGTATGTATTATTGTCTCATTCTCCTATCATCTAGATGCGATGCTTGTTAATTGGAAATTTTTAGAAAATAATTCTAACACAACGCCCATTGTAATAAGTAGGCTTTGGCAATTTCAGAATTTAAAATCCTTGTAGATTTTTAAGCAACAGGGCTAAAACGGGCAATGGTTCCTCAAAAATAAGTCGTCTTAGAAACTACACTGCGGCGCACATTTATTACCTAACTTTTAACTGTGAATTTTTTTTCAATCGGTGATCCGATTTGAACAATTTACCGCAGAAAGAAAAAAGTATACGGTATTAAAATCTGATGGGCTTTGAGTAATTTTGATATTTAGTCGTCTAATTATCCTGAGCCATTCGAGAGATATAATTTTTTTTATTGCCGATCACATTTTTGTTTAATTGCGAATAAGGAGTGCAAACAAAATTTTATTGCAATCTTAAACTCGCCAAACTCTGCTTCTTGTGTTACATACCTATGTAACTGTATAAAGAAACAAATGAAAAAAAAATCTTTGGCGTGTAAACAAGAATCCTTTATCCTTAGAGCAAATAAACACAGCTATTAACTTGAAATGAAATGATGTTAGCGCAACATTTTTTCCAGAATGTTTCTTCGTAATAAAAGTAAATTTTGCCCGGTCATAAAAAAATTAAGATGTCTTGAACGTCTCTAGAGAAACAAACGATTAGTTTCAAATCACTCAGAAGACATCTGAGGCTTTAGCAACGTATTTTTTCTGTGGCCTACCACATATTGCGCGCAGAAATTTTTAAACCTTGACCAAGAAAAAATGACGGTATTTAAACACTTTGTACAAAACGCATATTTCAATTTTTTCTTACCTGATTACTGACTTGATCAAAAAATAATAAAATCGAATCACCGACTGGGAAAATATTCACAATGAAAAGTTAGTTAAACTATGCGTTAAGTTTGCAACGCTGTGTATTAAAGTTGTATTAAAAAATAGATTTAAATTTTTCGTTCTTGTATCTTTATTCTGTCGGCTTAAAAACTATATTTGCATAAACTTCGTTTTTGCCAAAACCTCTTAACTATTAATAATCTGAAAAGTGTTAATACCTTTGCAAAAAGTTAGAGGGAAAGCGAAGAAACATGCTTCATTGTCAAACATATTTTTTCAAACATGTGTGGAATTTATGGGTAGTTAAAACCTGCAAACCAAAAACTAGGAAATGGCACGGCATTGAATAACCCAAACATTCCTCGAGTTAACTTTCGGTTTAGCAAATAGTTTTTTCACTTGCACAGTATTTTCGCATCCCCATTGCACCATTTCGAGTTGCCAGGATATTTGGGAAACTTTGCACCAGAACACTCTTGACAAGCTTTAAAAAAATTATTGATAATATGGTTTACTAAACTTATAACGATCTGGACATTTTCCAGGGCAATATTCTAGATATTCAGTTACAATAGTGTGCACTTTTTACATTTTAAAATATTTGCGTAAAGAGGAGTAATCTACTTTGGCAGCAAATTCGATTTCTCATACGGATCGAATATTGGTAATATATAAAAATGTAATGCTTTCTTGAACGCATCAAAGTCATCAGTTTTGAAGTGCCAGCGAGTTTTGCAGATGGCATTTTTATTTTTATTAACAGGGAAACTGGCGTTTGGAAATAACAGAAATGAAGTTTAAAAAACCATCAATCTATGTAAAAATATAGTATGTTTGTTAATTGATTTACTTTTTTGCAAGGATTATAAAGGCCGGTTGAGTCTCTAACAAATCAGACTCACTCCCAGCTGATTGTGAAACATCATACATCAAAATACGTACCCTTGGAAGCATAGAAAATGAAAATAAATCAAAACTTCCACATTAACTGGTTAATGCTTGGTTTCTAGGTTGTTCAATGCCGCTCTACACATTTCTATGCAAAATTGTGAATTCCATACCAAAAAATACTATTGAAATAGAATAACGATCGGAAAAAAGTGATCTAAAATAAGGCAATCAATAATCTGCAAGGAATGATATTAATTATTGGGGAAAATCAATGGCGTTATTGATCAAATGTGAAAGGGTGCGATGGTGAATGCGGTAGAGAACCGTTAAAGCTTCTAGATTTTTTACAAACATGATTTTAAATGTGGCATGAAAGGTCGTAGTAATGTAAATATTTTATGGACCCTGAACTAATAAGCAATACAGGGAAAATTGGAGAATTTATTTGATGTCCTTAATCAAGGTTTGTTATGGCGCATAAAGTTTTGTTTCCTTTATATGCAGGCTGGATTTCGGGCATATAAATTTGGAACTTCTACTTAATTCGGTCGGTATTGAAGGCAACAAAGCTAAATTAACCTCGGTCGCAGTAGCCACCCATTCACCCGAACAGAGTAAGAAAAGCACTAGTCTCAGAAGTTGAGGTGAATTTATGATCGCAATATCTGGCATGCGAAGTAATTTGAGACGGAAAAGATTTGAATGAATCGTGGACGAACGAGTGCGATATAAAATCACCAGCAACAAGACTAGTTGTGTAGGCTTTAGCTGTGGCTGGGCGAAGTGCTGTTCGATACATGCAAGAGGGTGCGTACCCGAAAAGAGCAAAATAAATGCCCAAGGGTTCGCGCCAGTAGGGTGCCCTGTCAGTGTGTCTGCAAATCAAATTTAAGTACATAGTAAAGTAGTGAACCGAGACTCTAACCTATCAGGGGCACAGCGTCGGACGTCTGGGTGATCACGTGAGCCACCAGCAAGGAAAACACTGTTTGTGACAGTAGAATGGTCACACCTGCAACAGATAGTGTTTCTGCAGCCCTTCTTTCCAAGTATCCGGCTCACCCCTAATAAAGTTACGAGTCAAAGAGGAAATGTTTGCGGCGCACCCCATCGGACCTCCTTTTCCAGCACTTCGCACTACCATTGCCTAGCCCTAAAACATTTCTTCTTTGCTCGCATTTGAACAACCATTTGAAGCTGACTTGAATCAAACGCTCCCCGAACATAGCAACACATATACACATCAATGACACAAAAGATCAAATCAGGCATCACTGAGGAGTAGCCAACACAGGCAGGTCAGACAAAAGGGTTGGTACCTAACAAGGGAATGGCATCAGATACTTGGGGCAAAGTTTCAGCCACGAGGTTCAGGAACACAGTCAACGAGAGCAGGATGGTCACGCCTGCAACATAATACATCTAAATTACGTGTAGAGAAAGTGCACATTCTCTCCAGGTGCTGCTTTCAGTTGGCTTTGCTTATGGCTGTTAGTGCACTTAAATGGGTCTAAATTACGTTCGGGTGTTGATACTTACCTCTACCTCTCTTCTACCTTCTACTATTTATTACTAGTTTTGAGGATGGGTGTTCAGGTGGAAGGGAGTATTAAAGTGAGCGTTAGCATGCTAATTGTATGCGAGATCAGTAATTAATCAGTAAAGTTAGACGAAACGCCCTCCAAGTATCAACCGGCAATCCAGCAAAGAGGACAACAGGGCGTCAAAGCATTCGATGCTCCCAGTAGGCCTATCATACCTATCAATGGTACTGCGTCTGATGTTGTCGGTATCTTTTCGGCTACTAGGTTCAGAAATACTGTCAATGAAAGAAGAATGGTGACACCTGAAATGAAGATTTTGATTTTTGAACGTGTTTAGTGTCAGTTATGACCGTCACGCTGCACACAAAGGGGCGATGGACAAATTATGTTCGGACTCGTCTGTAATTGTAATTGGAGATGAGGCACTTGGGTGTGTGAAAGCAATGGTAGGACCGAAACCAAAAACAATAATCAATCTCATGAGTTACGGTGACAATGATGACGCCAAGTGTGTGCTTATTAATGGATCTTTATGCCCAACCACTAGTCCGGCTAGTGTGTGATAGCGGAGCTCACTCAAAATAGCAAAGCAAACACTCATCGGCCAAATACCCTAAAGCATATACCTAATGTTAGTTTTTCACCCGAGTCGGGCGGCAATGTAAATCCCAGTAGAGCCATTGAAGATATCAGCACGCAAGGAACTATGAGGTTGAAGAAATAGTACAGTGTCCGTCTTCTAATCTGAATCGTAAAAGTAACATCAACGTATGGTTGCGGACAACATGCGTAGATAATTGTGTTTTTCTTTCCCGGCATCCCTAGAAGGAAATTCACTCATTACACCAGTCACATCTTCTCCCACTAAATTTTCTTTAGAACAGAAGTTAAATCAGCTTTTGATCCCCCAATCTACCCACATCACTCACAATTCATATGAAAATTATGCTGCAAAATATACTCGCAGTTGTTTTTGACACCCAACATTTGAAAAACTGGTTCAAACGGAGAAGATTGAAAATATCGCTTAAGCAAAGAAGGAATTGAGTAGAGCCATTGAAAATAATAAAATAACCGCTAGATGTGGCATCTAAAGTACAAGCCATTTTCTCATTAGGCAAAAGCCTTGAGGCACAATCCGTTCTTTTCAGATAGAGCGCTCACATTCTAAATGCAAATCCCGTTCAGCTAAAGGACATAGGTAAAATAAACCTCACGTTCTCCATCTAGTTAATATAATCTCCATAGTATTCTAGTACGGATTTTAACGAGTTAACGTAACAACTTCTACTCGTCCAAGCACTTGTTGCGATTAAACATACCAGAGTGCCTAAGATTAGCTCCGTAGTTCTTTCTACAGTGTGTCTCACTTAAGATGGAAGCAGCGCCGTATTTTATTTATTTTATGTAGGGTTTTCAGTGTTGGTACAGGGGTAGAACATCAAGAGTTTCATTATTTGGGCTACCCAGTTTTAACTTCAAATGTAAACCCAGCCTACTACGACTTTGCGAATATGTTTTGAAATGCGTTGAGGTATTAGAAAAAATACTAGAAAAAGTTGGTGCGAATGTTATTTTACCTCGGAAGCCATAGTTTTGAAATTTTATACAAAGTCCGAAGGTTTTCCTTCGAGAAATTTCTGAAAGAAGTTCAATCAGTTTCAACAAATAACCTTCTCATAAATAATCGGTTAATTTCCCTCATGGCTCTATATGAAAACTGATACAAAACTTTGTACTTTGCATGAAAAAAAGTCAAAATTTGATTTTTCACTAGAAACTCACATTTAAAATAACATTTCGAATAACTTTTCCTTATGTCTCTAACGCATCTTAAAATATAGAGAATTGCCCCATTCCCTAAAAGCTCATGGCGATGTACTTCTGCTATAAGAACGTTTAATATTTTTATTGAGTATTTCCAACTGATGGTCGAGGACTCTCAGGAGGTCTGTATAAGAACTGAATAATTTTATTCATTTGAGACGATATAGAACGATGTTATATTCCAGTAAATATGTACTTTGTTATTGAATTTCCTTTAAATTTCCTGAGAAATCGAAGAAGATATCGCGGCCAAGTAGATCACGTTGCATGAAACGCCTCTTGCATGTCGCATTTTCAGGGTGTGTGAACAGGGGTTTCAAGTCAGGGAGTAAATGACGGTGTTTTTTAACTTCCATTTTGTTAAAAATAATCATTTTTCAACAGTGCTTTAGTAGGAGTAAAACAAATCATTTTCCCTATTTTCCATTAAACTGAGTGCGAGCCTCGCATGCCGTATGTTCAATTTAAATTTTATTTGTTTTTATAGGCAAGGGACCTTTGTCGGTTTTTCTGATTCCCCACAGTTTAATCCGCTAAAATATAATTAATAGATCCAGGTTTTTCCAAGTGACTCGCGTAGCGACTCTCACATTAAAAATAATGTCGCTCTGAGGAGGATGTTTAAGTTAACAGATGCATAACTCTAAATTGTACTTCCAGTGTTTTAAATTGCGAAGGTTGAGTGTCGAGGTATTATATTTTTCTTTCTACTGTTACGTCCACGTGGGCGATAAAGTTTTTAAATCGTGCTAGAGAGTTTTGTACAAATCTCCAACCAACAACCCGAAACAATCTATAAACTTCTTGCAGAACTTTAAACGAGAAAGTTGATGATAAGTAGTCTATTATCTAACGAAACAAACTGAAGAAAGAAAAACGAAATATTCAACAGGTTCAACTGATTCAAATCTCCAAGTTTTGGGTACCAGGAAAGAAGACAAATAACTGCGGTGTGTTCTTCAATGCTGTATATCTAAGAAACTTGCAATATTATCAAATACCAAATACGTTAGAGATGTTCTGTTCTAATAGTGGGTATGGACTGAAACCATTTTATCCCGAAAATATTCCACTCTTCTTCAGGCGTTCATCAAGACTAAATTCCATGGTAAAAGATCGTTATGTTATGTGATACCCATTTAGCATTAAACATTGTCTTGTTAAAATCAGAAAAATGAGTCAAAGCGCCGAGTGCCGACGAAAAAATAAACGTGAAACTCCGTTAATCCAGTACCAAACCCACCATGAAAATAAAGCGTTTCAGTTTGACAATGAGCTTAACATTCGTCGATGTACGTAGATTGGAAGAGATTAATTTCGTCAAACTATTATATTTGCCTGCATATGTAAAATCGAAAATTAAATATGTGCTACTTACCCAGAAGATACCATTCTCCATTTGTGATGAAGTCGGATAGGTCGGCTCCAGCTTCCGAGTTTAAAAGCAGGTCAAGCTACAGAAAGGGAGAGCCATGTAAATTATGCCTCAATTAATTTACCTAACGGAAATTGCTAGGTGTTTTGTGGTATTTGGTTAGTTGCGGAACCATGTTAGATATAAATCAACAACCGTTCAATAGCAATTCTGGATGCGATTAAGCTCCTGATTGTCCAGCAATTTTCGCCACGTGTTCGAAAATGATTCCTTTCTAAGAAACGCAATCTTTTACTGCAATTAAATTAAATAACTTAGAGAACATCTGCATTTTTATTCTCCTTGAAGTCCTTAATGGGATTCATTTATTTGCTCGGTGGGCTCCTATTATCTTGAAGTTCTTTAATATAAATGATTTATATTTGCCGAGATACTTGATTAAAAATATACGGCTTTGTCTTTGTTCATTTTAAAAGACTCTTTGAAGCAGATTATGAAAAATTTTGTAATACCCAAGAAATAATCACATCTGTAGCTCAGTGACTCAGCACCATTTGCCAGCGCCGCTAGTTATGTTGCAGCAATTTGTATTGCGATGGACATTGATGGGAAATATACAAAATAAAATCACTGAGACGAATTCGAATAGGCACGCTATTATGTGAACAAAATTTATTTATTGCATTTTCAGTGACTGTTGAGTCGTATTGCATAATGTCCATTTATGCTTACAAAAATCGTGTTGATTGAGTTATACCTGGAGAAAAGCTTGTAATATTGTTCACTATCATTGCATTCGCTTGTACAAAGCCCTGTTGTGATTGTGGCTTTCAAATATATATGCTAATAAAGCTCAGAATTCCACCAGAAAGGGGCTAATAGAGTTGGGGAGCTCTCACTATACTGATGGATTTGAGAACATATTTATTCCACAGATATGACCAAATTCTCCTGCACCATAACTGCTTGAGTTGATAGCAGTTCATGCAAGGACCATTTGATTCCATTCCAAATTTAACTGGTTTATTTCGCATTGGCTGAAATGGAATCAGCTCGACACCTAAACGTCCACAAATTGAACACTCTGAGATGGAATTCTGGCTTAATTAACCATCCGATCTGACTCTTGAATGGATTACAATCCAGAATATCACAAATGGCTGTTGTTGTTTAACACTGCATTATCGAACTGAATAAAAGTAATTTATTTAAGCGAATATTTGCGGAATAAGCGACAGTTTCGGATGAGCAATAAATTGTGACCAACAAAAACACCATATATTTCAGATATACATCGATCTGAATAAAAATACAGTTTCATTTTATGAAAGAAATTGGAAAATAAGTTTTTCCCCAAAAGCAGGGAAATATTGTACTGTCACCACATAATGGTAAACATGGATGCAGGGTGGAGAATCGCATTTCAATATCCTTTTTATTCAGAATCTAACTTTTTAATCCGATCAGACTAAACTTACATGCAATAATATGGGGCATGCTTTAAACTGTATCAGTAACTATTTTCTTATAACTAAAACCATAGGAAACGGAACTTAGTTATTGAGAAACTTTTGCGCCATCTCATTTTTCAGAATCCACTTATAAAGCATGTGGGCTCAAGATCTTGGCCAAGTCAGGTGATTGTTAAAATAGCTGACATTTTTCAAGAAACTTTTGCTACATTGCTACTGCTTAAACGAGTGACATCAATTCTTGTTCTGTCTTCATAAAATATTTCACTTTACAAAGTGTTTGGAATGCCCCACAAGACGTTCACCTGGTTCACACCCTCACAAGAAGATAAACAATCCCTCTGCTAAGAACTTTACATAAATACTGGATAAATGGAAAGGATCTGGGTTATATTGAGACCGGTATGCATATTGGTTATTATGTAGGCTGATATGGAATGATAAAGTGTTTTAACAGCCATAAAGGCATCCATTTATTTCCTAGAAAATTCAATAAAATCTTATCGATACGTAACAAAGGAACTATAAACGAAAACATTTTGGACCGGATTAATGATTTATTGGAGTAAAATATCCCCTTAAGCTAGGAGAGCTATCGTAAAATCAATGTCAAACCATTTGAGACAGTAAATATTGGCGGTTTACAAAGGAAGCTATGACACAGAAGATGATCGATATTCAATACCTAACTTCAACTTTTCCACCTCCTTTTATGTCGAATTTAATGTTGAATACCAACTCGATAGATTTCCGTCTTTTATCACAATGGAGCTATGGATGTCTCAAAATGTTAAGTGCTGCATTCGCAACATGTTCATTACGGTTTCGTTTAATTTTTCTTTAGAATTTTTGATTAGTTTTATAATTAGTCAAAAAAGAAAAGGAATGGAACTGCAGTAAAATATTTTTTCAGCTATTGATACTAGACAAGGAAGAGTAGGAAAGAAAATGGTCAAGTGGATTCTTGTAAAGTGGGTAGCAAAGAGATAAAGCGCTCTGCTCCATGCAAAATAGTATCCCCAATGACATGGTTCCCTAATGAAGGGGCGATTGCACATTCCATCAAATTCTCATAACCGACAATCCATTAATTGAAATAATTAAACATAGAAAGGGTTTCTCTCTTCTGATAAATCACTTCGTTACAGCGCTGTTATGCAATGATGATATTTAGATCCATTTATGATATTTAGAAGCAAAAGAATTATACCAAAGTTAAAAACACCAATTAAAAATGTCCGAACAGTGAAATTTCCTTCTAATACTTGAGATTCTAAAGTCTAAGTTCTAGATCATGCTAATTGACTAATTGGTTGTGGCTAAAATGCTATTTCTAACATTTCTGCCTAATTTTTGAAAACCCCTGCTACTGTTCCATTACAACAGCTAATAAAATGTCAGTTTGAAAACTACCGAAAAATACTTCAGTTACGGAGCGCGATTAAACCAGGAAAAAACAGGCACCAAAATCGTGCTTTATATGAATGTGTATGTGATTTGTGTGGTTTGTTCTGCAAATCAGTGTGATTACTCATTTTTCTTTCAATGCTTTGTTCATTTGGGTCACAGCAATCGAATATTGATGAGCGCATTTACACATGGCTGTATTTTGCTACAAATGTAAACTCCTTTCAGTAACTTTCCCGGTTGTAATGATCCGGTACAAATTTGAAGGTAATGATCTGGAAAATATGGACCAAGCGAAGCTAAATGTTGATTATCTCAAAGAAGAACATTTTTTAGGGCGCGCTATAACGGCAAATTGATTTTTTTGCCATTGTATTGCCACCATTTTTATAACAGTATTAAATTGGCCATGTAGTAAATTTACAATTTAAAAGTCTCAGATCTTTCAGCATTTTCCGGTAGCTCAATTGAAAAATTAGCTTTGAAATTTTTTTGAACCTAATTTTCATTGCGGATATGAAATGTTTTAATGTCTGACTAACTGAATTTGCAATTACGATTAATCAAAAGTTAATGAAGCGGTTTAAGAAATTAAAAAATCAAACAGCTATTGAAAGAAGGTAGGTAGCAAAAATTATTACAGCATGATCCAAATTGACCACATTTTGGGAATTATACAGAATAGAAAATCGAGTAAATCCTGGTATTTAATAATAGAACTGACCATGTATTGGAAATAAAGGTTGCTCTCGAACGTTTTTGGAGAAATTTGAGGTTGGCTCTTCGATTTTTCGAAATAGAGAAGTAATTTGTATTTGCCCACGTAATCAAATTTTTGGAAACACGAATAATAATTCAAATAGATTTTTGGATCCACTAAACGAGGTAAATCTGTTAAATTGCTTCGAAATTGATGAATTTGGTGTTCAAAAAAAATCTAAAATCTGTTCAACTCCTGACATAAAAACCTTTATCAAAAACCTTCACGTTTTTGATAAATTAAATTTTCTAGACGTTCATCAATTAAACATTTTCCTATCTTATGGCTTCCAAAAAACCCAATTTGAATCACATTCTATATCAGTGAAATATAACCATCCCCAATGACTTAAACGCGTTTAAATTGAGTACCACATTGTAGCTTATACAGTGTAAATTTATATATCATCGTTATTGACCTGTATCAAATGAGGTTAATACCAAACAGATTAAAGCACCGAAAATTAATTTAAAATCATGTTGGTTACAAGTAAATTTTCAATTATTTGCTGATATTAACTCTAGCCAAGTTTAATTAACTCCTTTCATTTGATAATTGGTTTAATTAATCCGAAATCCACGAGGGTTATTCGTAATTTTTCATACCAAGCGATTTACGCAATTAGTGCAAATACCGAATTGATTTCGAATTATTTTATTCGTGTAAAACGCTCGTCTATAAACTTTCGCTCTCAGGACAAGTGCTAAATTACCGTTTGCCTTTAAGTACGTTGCACAGTTAGGTAAGTTGCTCTAAAAGCTTTGCGTCGGTCTTATTTCGTGCATTATTTATGCAGGTAAAGCAACATGAAATAGTTTCCGGAAAATACTATCTGCATAAGCCAATATTGCGAAATGAGGTTTAAATTACCTTCCTGGTTTGAACTTTTCCAGATCCTGATTATTCTATATGAGGTTTTGTGAGTTTTGTGTAGTGAGTGGAGAGTAGTGATCAACATTTGCAACCCAGTGCGTTAGATTGATCACTTGCGGTTGTGAAAACAAAATGAAAATCAAACAAAAATTCAATACCTGGTTACCATCGTGGGTCCAGCTACCAAACTTCATGTCACAGTGTTGGTCATCAAAGGGGAACCACGTAATGTCTATCTTGCATGTGCTCTTGAAGATACCCGGAGGGATGTACAAGCAGCTGCCGTTACTTTTGATCACAACGTTTGTTTGGTAAGTCCCGTCGAAACCCTCATCAGCACTTTACAAGAATACAAAGCGTTAAAATTTAACCGATTTAGAGCTTCAGTCTCTTGTTTCTACGTTTCACAACGTTGTCAAGGGTGGATAGTTCATTACTTTGGGAGCAATAGCATTTTTCGACAACACCGTTTTTTGCTGATACTCGTACGTATGTCACCCATTTGAGACTTTATTAGTATAAATCTATCCGGTTATTTAATATTTTCGTATTAAAATATTTTTATAAGAAATGTCGGAAATTGAGCGTGGACCATCATTAATCATCCTCACGCATGTTTCGTGATGAACTGAGATCCTCTCTGGGCCTGTGCTTAAAAATTATTAATGTAGTGGTTGACTGTTATATTCATTCCATTATGGAATTTCAGCATATTGACAAGGCCAATAAAAATGCAAATTGAAATTTTCTTGAAAAAGGTTACAAAGCACGTTAGAATTTCGGTTGAAGACCTAGTAATCTGCTAAGCATACTGATCCATAAGTTTGCATAAAACCATTTATCACAGCAAGTCACGTCTGAGGTTATTGGTTGTTAAAAAGCAATTTTTTCACATTTCCCTTTAGTAAAACGCCGAGGCGCTTAACTGCATATTGAATTTTTGTGCCTAGTTTTCTCATGATATTTTGCAACAGTTAATACACACTCAGAGTTCTAATTAAAGCACATAGCCAAACATTAATGGACTAGAGTTAACAGACAGTTAACATGCATAATTTGCATATAAACATGAATTTGCTGTTGCCTTGACTAATAATGAGTCCAGCAACATTACATTTCACAAGGAACACTCAGCCTAACACCAGCTAATTTCCATCATACTGTCATCAGATGAACATGCATTTAAGCCATCTGATCAACTCTTTTTATGAGAATGGTTTGCTTTCAGTTGTGCTAAGACTAATCGTCAAGCAGGTGGTTTACTAGTATATGCTACATTGCAGGAGTTATATTGTATTCAGTTCGAAGCTTCATGCAGAGTGAAGCATTCCAATTCATCAATGCCCCCTTAATATTTTGGTGTTGAATTCAACGTAGGTTGTAACGATCATTGAATGTTGTGACTACTTGTTTATGGATTAATTCCCTTTAGTCAGTAGATGTTTGTGGAATGTACTCATAAAGTATGTATCGGTTTTATATTTGCTCTGTGCTGTATATCAGGTGTTCGGGGATCCATAAAGAATCGCATAACCATGCTCCTATCTGGGTATATCACGTGAAATGAAACCGAATAACCATAATGCTTGTCTAAAGGACGCACTCGAGTTCAGTGCCATTATTCGGTTCAATGTGATCTGTGAAACGCATTTGTATTCTATTGGTCTTTTTCTTCAAAACACGTCTTACGATAAAACTTTTATACGATCAATTTTAAATTGCGAGCGTCGGTAAATCTGCGTCGAAACTTTAAAAATAGAACAGCATCCCTTTGCGGTTACTGTCACATTCTGGAAAATAGACTTCGAGCTGAAATATTTACTATGCAGGACCATAAAACAGTTACTTTAACTTGCACGGCGGTGGCTTCTCTAAGCGAGGATAGTCAATCATATACAAGGTTGCTCATTAGTGCAATATCTCAGGAAATTCGAATTTTACAAGGAAATGTCTTCCACAAAAGTTTCTGGTGGTTTACAACTCTCGCATTTTAATTTTTTTGCGAATATATACGGTCGTCGTAACTGAGAATTGGTGAATTTCAAAGTTCATTTTAGGTCATTCATCTGAACAGGTTACAGTTTGCGAATTGATCGAAAAAATGTGCAAATTCTGTCTGCTGCTGAAATCCACAGAAATCGGCGCTTTACTACGACGCTAACTGCGAACTAACTAACTGCTGCTAACTGAAACATGTCTTCTGGGACTTGAAAAGGACCTAATAAGCTGCGGGCTGACATGTGTTAATCTATAAAAGGTTCTGCTCAAACCGCCCAACAAGCCTACAAATTTGCATGTTTTAAAAGCTCAATAACTTGTTTATACCAATTAAAACACCCAATTGTTTTTCCAATTTTCGGACTATTGGACCTTAGTGTTCTAATCCGGGAACTTTCTGAGTTATCCGTTAAAATTCAAAAAAATATTTTTATCAAGTCAACCGGCTGCATAGAAATCAAGAACAAACATTTGTTTATTCGTATTAATAATAATAATAATAACAATTTTTATTTGAGAACGTTGTAGCGGGTGTTCCAACGGTAGAGCAAACTACGTTTACGCTTAACCGGTATTATTTGTTTTAAAATTCTCATCGTCATCTTGTAAAGGTACTGATCTCGCATATTTAAAAAATATTTGCAGCGCAGAAAACATTCTTTTCTAATGGAGCACCCTATGTTTTATTTTCTTTTTGAATTCTCTTCCAAACTTCAATAACCTTTTGTTATATAAAATATGAACGGAAATTGATAGTTTTTCGATGATAAATAGAAAATTTCTCCGTCCTGTATAGACACAAAATATTTTACACAAGAAAGGACTAATACTAGGTATATTAATATTTAGTTTGCAAAATATTTGATTTTGATACTAGAAGGCGCTCATAATAATCGGCCAAATTAACCTATTTTCAGACTAAAGGAAATCACTTTTTTAAAAGACAGACCCCCATATATTGTTAGTGCGGTTTATTCACAATAAGAAAACTTAACAATAACAATATAATAATTTGAAAGTAATTTATAAATATTCAATGGAACAGAATGCTTCAAACACAAATACAATTCAATATCAGAAATGGCGAAATAACGTTGACAAAATTAAACCAAATATAACGAAAACATTTGGAAAATCGATTTTTTGGGTAAACCAGAACAGATACACCTGGAAATCCTGTATCATTAAAGTGAGGTTTTTGAGTTTTAAAATGAAATGAAATAAAAAATTGAAAATACGTTAAACTGAACGAATTTTTTTGACCGCCCTGTAGTTTCAGAGACAATTTTTTGCAACTTGAACACTAATGTAGTATTGCTTCCTTTTTCTGCCGAATTTAGAAATATTAGACGACGGAAAAATTTTCGAATAATTAATAATTATTATAATATATATAATAATAAAATAATAAATATAATATAAATATATAATAATAATTAATTAATAACTAAACTGTACATAGGCGTTCAAAAATACAATTCGGATTGTTCCATTAGATAAAAACTGTTTTCTCTGCTGCAACTTTTGTTTCGCATTCTGTATAAATACAAAATTTCAAAAAAAATGTGCGTGTTTAGTACCTTTACAATAGAACGATGCGGATTTTGGGACAAATAGCCAGTTAAGCTTAAACTTACTTTACTCTATCGTTTGATAAAAAAACCCGAAAACGTGTTTTATTTCATGTAAGTTATTGAGGATTAAAACCTTCAACTTTCAAGTCTCATTCTGCGATTTGCGGATTTTTTTTTATAAATTAAAACATGTCAGCACATGCTTTAGCAAACGGTAACATTTTCGGATAACACACAAAATAAACTAACATTAGAATTTGACGATAGAACCGAAAATGGCCAAAAACTGGGAGGTTTTGAGTTAAATATCCCCAGTTGGTTACTCCTATACGTTTACGTCGCACCCCGTACATCCGCATACAACTTTAAAATGTGCCCCCTTTAAACACCAATAACTTCCTTAGGAAATATTTCCTTGTAATTTTTTTTTTGCTGGGATATCACACTTTGACGCACTAATGAGCAACCCTGTAGAATATAATAGCTTCCATCATCAAATAGGTAGAATCTTTCAGTCTGGTTATAAGAAAGCAAATAACCTGCCAGTGTTTTTTCTATTTGAAGCAAAACACATCTTAGAGCACGAAATATTTAATATGTACTGATATTTTGCTAATTTAAACAATTTTATTACAAAGTTACAAATGGTGGACACTTAATTTAGATCGGGCTCTTTCTGCTCGGATTACACGTGATGGAAATTTCTCTCGCGCTTCGCGGTTTGCATGGTAAATTGGCACAATTAGTTTTGTTTACTGATATTATAGACCAATAATAAAACAGGATACAAAATATTTCACAGCGCTATCCAGGTATCAGGCAGCTTGTATCCGACTCTGGAGGATCGGGAATTGCTGTGGGCCACTGCAGCGGCAGGCTGTGTTATACTTCCCACCCTTTGTTATTAAATTCACACATTAGTTTGTCGGTTCACTCTTTGTTGTTTTTAGTTACCTACCTGTTTCCTATATTTTCGCAATTTTCACAACGAATTTTAATTGAGTATTAAACTGCTACTATGCTATTAACCACTCGACTAAATGGTTTAATGCTACGGTAGCTCTTGACTTCATCAATGTGTATACAATTTACTCTCTAATATACCACTGGGCTACATTTGGACGAAACCAGCTACTAATTCTACATCTACATATTTAGCTGTAAACTGTTCAGTACGAGAATTGCAGCGGGCTTATGGCGCATCATGTAAATTGCCTGTTGTTACCATTGCACTGAAAATGGCTTGGGGCTTTAAACATATCTGAGTAATCAAAAATGAACAAAATATGTTGTCTGTTACCAAAAATACAATGAAAACTTGCAATCGAGTCCAATTTCAATCATCTTACCGCATTTTTGAATGACAACTTTCAGAACGATCTTTATCTAATACTATAGAGAGAACTTGCCAACGGCACGATTTTTATCCATAATGGAAAACGATTGAAACCTAAATTAGGAACCCTTGTTGTCGAAGTTTCCAATGGACTTGAATTGATCAGCGAAGAAACCCGATAGAAAGTTTTAAATGTAGTTTTAATTAAGCGATAAAGCACATGCAAGAGCACATCTTTCTCATTTTGGGGATTAGAAATCGGGCCAAATGACAGCGCTAATGTTTAGAAAAGGATGATCTGTTTGTTATCCTTGGGGCTATCTCCAGATGAGTTTGCCGAACATTCATGTGTAAGAGATATATTCAATCTCCCTGGTAATGTCAATATTATAGCTAAGTAAGGAGGAACTTTATCCCCTAAGGAAGTTGTC